TGCATGGCTCAAAATGGTCAAAAACCATAGGGTGTAGTAAGCTCATTTTGGACGGAGTCTGTTTAGATTACCGAAATTATCCCCGATTTGACACAAGGGATTTAATAAGCATAAAAGACAATATAAATTTGAAGACAATGACACACTTTGGCAGGATAATGAATAAAAAAAATGTGGGAGATACCCCTTTTAGGTGGATCCAAGGCTGTGCCATTTTGGCCTTTGACCAGAGTAGGTCCTTCGACTTAATAGTTTTGTTTTATGTAAATTTCCGTAAATAAACTTTTAAATAAGGGTAACAAACCGACCCCGAGAGGTTGGAGATGCGGGGTTTGTATGAGTTCGGGTCTATGTAGAGCCTTCGAAGTTTGGGTCAGAGTTTTGGCCAAAAAATCGTCGGGGTTAAGGGTTTCGAGGGTCCGGCTGCCACCCTACTTTTAATAATAACCTCAAAGTTGCTCGTAGAATTGATAATATTTTTAGAAACATAAATTGAAAATTTATTATTTTTCTTATATTTGTATAATCCTGTATCTGGTTCAACATAAACTTCCATAGATTCAGCCAATTCGTTAGGCAATACAAAAGTTATGGTATCGTATTTTTGCGTAATCTCTGTCCCAATTAGTCGCCCTCCTGGTAGAACAGTATTATGTTTGTCCAATTTTAAATGATAAAGCATGACTCTATATCTTTGATCCTTGACAAGCTCCTCTAATTTGACACCATTTCTGATTAATTCCTCAGGAATAATTCCAGACTCGATTTTTATGTTTATATATAAGCTATGTATAGCTTAAATTAAAAAACAAAAATTAAATTAATATTTTTTAAACTGTCAGAACTTGAGCTTAGATACCTGGCACAAGCGTCTCGCTACTCCAATAGGTTTACTTTTTTTATTTGGACTAAGTAAATGTTTTTCTATTATTGGACAAGGATTTTTTGACTAAATCCTCACAAATCCCCGCGCCTGTTTTAGAGCCAAATTTTCCGTTTTTTCACTTAGAGCCCAAAAGTTCTAAAAGACCTTGGAGCTCAATTTTCCAGAGCCCAAATTTCCGGGGCTCTTTTTAGTATAGGGTGTATTCTATAATGATGTACCGTATTTTTTTCTAATAGAGCGGTCCAATATAGAGCGGCCGGCCGCTCGATTAGGAAAAATAAGGTATTCAAAATCGAGGTCTGACTGTATTTCTTTAGCTTACTTGGCAACAATTCACTTATTTGTTTATTCTCCTCATCTGCCATCAGTATACCTTTTCCTTTATGATCTACATGTTTATGTCCACTAGATTCCCCTGTAGATTTAACAAGGGACGAGAATTTCAAAATAATAATTAAAATTAAAATAATTTTCCTCATAATAAATCCAGAAATTTTTTTTTAATTTTTAGAGCGTCAAAAAATTTTTTAATGTAAAACTATAAAAATTTTTGTTAGATTTTAGCGATTTAAAAAATTAAATAAAAAGAATAAATTGAAATGGATGTATGGGGAGATAGGGGGAGAGAGGGGAGCTCGTTATGGGGAGGAGGGGAAAGAGAGGAGGAGGTTGTGAAGGATGAAGGATGGGATGGGATGAGGGGATGGAGGGGGATTGGATTCAATGGTGGTGGGCATGTAAGTGAGGAGAGGAGGGGAAAATTGCTTAAAAATGTATTGGCCACGTGAAATTTTTTTATCAAAATACGACATCGATTCCTCGACAACTCTGCTAACCGAAAAAGTTAATCCTCAACGGTGTTTGGAGATGGGGAACCTTGATAGGGTAAGTGCATTCAAGTTTTCATGAAAACAAACAATTTCTGGCATCTCTCCTGTATTCTTAGTCTAAATAATCGGAGCAATTTGATCAGCAAAGTTGGCTAGTAGAGAAGAAAAAAACATCTAGGGTGAAGTCACATCCATATTAGGGCTCGCCAAGCTGTTCCGTTTCGGGTTAATTTACCTTGCCTTTAACAAGTGGCAAGAATTTTAACAAAATAATTAAAATAATTCTCCACATAAAAGTAAATTTATAAGGGTTTTTAATGTTAAGGCGGCACAAAACAAAAAATAATTTTACAAGTGCAAGTCTATAAAATTTGGTTTAAAGTTTTAGAGAAAAATAAAAAAAATAAAATACATTAAGAAAGAGTCCCCCCTCCATATTAGAGAGTCTCTACCATCTCCCCTCTTTATTCCCTTATAAATTAAAGGGATATAGAGGGAGATGGCAAGGAGGGAGGTGAAAAAGATGGGGAAGAGCGAAGAAGGGAGGGAAGGCGAGAGGGAAGATTACGAAATTAAAATTATTGACTGACACGTAAATTATCAGTGTGGGGAAAGCTCTGTCTTGCCAAACTTTGAACGGCGAAGCTTGATACAAACAAAACACTGTCTGCGCAGAAATCTGTGCTACATTTTAGTTCTAATAATTTAATGAGATTAAGAAGGACTTTGGGGGAATATCAGAGGATTTGGAGATATCGGAGGACTCTTAACCCCTCCAAAGCTACCATATCCCCCTTAATCCTTCTTGATACCTCGATAGCACCCACAGATCCCTCGATATCCCCTTTAATCCCTCTAATTCCTCCGATATCCCTCTTAATCCCCTTGATCCGTCTTATCATTGATCCTTCCTTCCTAACCTATCCTCGACCCTTGTCCGGACAATGCGTCAGTGGAACCTCGAAGAAATCATCAACAACATCTGTAAATTTGTCTAATCGTGTGATTTAAATTAAAAGTATAAAATAGATTCACATTTAAATTTTCTTTTTTTAAATCAACTTTAAATAAAATAAAAAATTTTAATCAAAAGCATAAAGGGGGTTAGTTCTTTCGGTTATGTTGCCCGAGTCCGCATGTTTTTTCTACAAGTCTGGAACTGGGTCCAAAGCTTTTGCCTTTTGTTGCCCCAAATTTCAAAAGTTTTACTGCAAAAAGGTGATTTAGAGATTTAGACAAATTTCAAATTCGCCGGCAGATTTAAAACAATTTTTTCTTAAATAAAAATAGTCCTTTAGGGAAAATAAGGTTACCTAATAAATTGCAGAACTTGCAGAGTTTGGGCAACATAACCGAAAAAAGAACCAGGGCGTCCAACCCCATCAAAATGAAAAAAGACATAAAAAACTGAAAAACAAAAAACCCCTAAAAACAAAACAAAAAACCCCTAAAACTCCGTCAAAAAATAAAAAACCCAAAAACCCATCAAAAACCCCAACAAAAAACCCACACCAAAAACTAAACCCCCCCCCCCTCCCAAAAAAAAAATCCGATCCAAAGAACCATCGAAACCCTATACAGAGGCATCTCTCTTTTAAAGAGATCCCCCAATCGCCCCCAACTACCAATACTTTCAGTTCCCTCCCTATGGCTTTCATTCTTCTTTAATTCTTTTAGCATCTCGAATATCCAAATGAGAAGAGTTTGAAGGAGAGCCTCTTTTAAGGTGTTCATTAAATAATCCTTGTGTTTTCTTCTGGAATTTAATTTAAAAATAATTTTTATTTTCAGAATTTATACCTTTAATAAATTTTCATAATCATTATTTAAGTCTAAGTGAGAACTAAATCCAACTAAGCGGCAAAAAGCTTTGATATTTCCTTTTGCGTCAATTCCAAAATTAATATAATACAAATTGAAATTTTCAACAGATAGAGCCTCGTCACATTTTATAGTTGTCTAAAAAACAAATTTCAGACAAATTTTGAAATTTAGCCGAAATTTAACTTTTAAAATATGTAGTAAACCTCCAGCTTCTTCGAACCGAATCTACTTAGAAAATTCGAAATCGAGCCTAAATTTTTGAATACAAACCCGGTACCGGTACTAATATTGCCTGGTTACAGTTGGTGAGTTACAGCTACTGCTTTAGTATAGTCCCACTTAAACAGAGTACAGACCCAGAGTGGAGAGAGGGCCTGTAGCTTTACCTGTAATTCCGAGGCAATTAGGTGACTCGGACAGCTATTACTAGACTTGGTCAGCTACTACTAGCTACTATAATCTGAAATAAAAAGTGCCGACCAGTCTCTGGCTATTCGTAACCAGTGTTTGGAAGCTCGTACCAATCCACACTCGCACCTGTGTACGAAAAAAAAATCCCTAATCCTCTCCCTTCCACATTTAAGTGCATAAATAGCCTTTGTGGTTGATTTAATTATACAAAAAGCACCTCTCCATTAAACCACATTCCATTATTTAAATAGTGAAAATTTAAAACATATTCATCTCCTTTACAAACATTAAAGTTTCCGTACAAAATACTTCCTTGAACATGAAATGACCATCCTGGTTGTTCATTACAATTTAATATTGTTGGGATTATATGCTCTGTTTTTTCAAAATTAAAGAAAAAATAGCGTAGAGGAGAGTCAAATTCTAATGGATGATAAGGGATAACTTTTACATTGTGTTGCTTCAAATTTAATTTTACAATGTTGAAAACATGATTCAAATAAAAATAACGCGAAAACTAAAAAAAGAGGGATAATAATTTTAAATTTTGAAGATGAGAAGAATAGAAGGGAGGTAAACGCTTAGTTCCGGGCAGACAACCAGAGGTGGGTCGGAATTCCGAGTTCCGACGTTTTTTTCCTTCCGATTTCCGAAAAAAATTTTGATTTCCGATTTCCGAGTTCCGACTTTTAAGTCATTTCCGATTTCCGACAGTTCCGATTTCCGACACCTCGGGCTGTTCCGACCCACCTCTGCAGACATCAAACCTGAGACCTCTTGGCTTCAATACGGCAAATGAGGGATATCACGTGTTGAGAAAAGCGTTGGGTCGGGTCTCTGAAAATTTCTCGGATCCTGTTTCAGACTTGGATGGAAAAAATGTCCGGGGTTCAGTAGCTGTGATATCCCTGGTATAGATGCTCTACTAAACCTCGCCTAGACCACCGTTTGATAAGTCCCGGCTGGCTAATCTTTTTCCTTTGTAAAGCTTACATGCAGCTAGATATGATATTTTATTTCTGGATCAGGGTCGAGCTCAAGAGTCAATTTCAAAAAACTCTCGAGAGATTTTGATCGAGACCGTTCTCTACTCTTAGATATCTTACCAAGAAGCCCCACACATTCTCATTATGTCCAAAAACATAAATAGAAAATTGGTTATTTTTCTTATACTTAAAGTGCCCTGTATCCTCTTCATAAACTTCCATAGATTCAACCCATTCTTTGCTCAATTTAAACGTTACAGTATCGTATTTTTGTGAAAATTTTGTCCCAATTTCTTGCCCTCCTGGTTGTGGCTCATTTTTTTCGTTCAATATTACATTAAAGAGGATTATTTTATATCGTTGACCGTCCATGTTTGAATGGAGAAATTTCTCATGATTAATTCCAGACTCGATTTTTATATTTATATGTAAATTAGACGTGTCTAAAGCTTCTAAAAATTGAAAAAAATTTTGATTAAGATAATATTTTTTAATAATACAACAATTTAAACTTGAATAATCAGCCGAAAATATCGTATCTTATAATGAAGTGTATCTTAAATTGGGGGTATCGCTTAAAGATAGGGTTTCCAGAATGGAACGACTCGGCCAAAGGATTGGGACGGGCCTAGGATATCTTACCCGAAAAAGACTCGTACGGCCATATCCTATAAAAACAGGCCCGAAAAAATGCCTCGAGCGTCGGCTCAATTCAAAGGAAACGGGAACCTTACTTAAGAACTCCCCACGCCCAATGGTAGACCATAAAAACATTAAATCAAGATTCTGTTTTCTTTCCCTTACCAAAAAAGTACAAATGGGGCAGTGAGAGTATCCAGGCTTGCTCATGGATATCCGGATACCCGCGGATATATCCGAATACGAACGGATATGGATAGTGGTTTTTTAAAAATTGGACGGATACGCATGTACACAGATATGATGCTCATAATCCGCGGATATCCGTCCCTAATTTCTTCGATTATCATTAATAATTATTGAATGTTTCTTGTTACCTCAAACTAAAGTATTAGTCACTTATAATGAGAGTATCTGAAATGGAGGTTTGACTTACTCGGAAACATTTTATTTATCTCTTCATTTAATTCCTCCTCATCTACCATCAGTATACCTTTTCCTTTATCTTCTACATGTATATGTTTACTAGATTCCCCTGTAGATTTAACAGGGGACGAGAATTTCAGCAAGAAAATAATTAATATAAAAACAATTTTCCTCATAATAAATTGAAAAAAATTTTAAAAATAAATTTTTAAATTATAAAAAATATGTATAAGGGAATATATTTAAGAAAGGAGAGAGGAGGGAGGGGAGAGGAGGGAGGGAAGGGATGGGTCTCGCAAAGGAAAGAAGGGATGGGGAAGAAGAGAGGGGGAGAGTCTTTCCTATATCTCACTCACTCCCTCCCCTCACCTAAGCCAGGAGTGGGGATAGGAAGGGAGGGGAGAGGAGGGAGGGAGGGGATGGGTCTCGCAAAGGAAAGAAGGGATGGGGAAGAAGAGAGGGGGAGAGTCTTTCCGGTACTATGCGTTTATATCCCCACAATTCTGCAAATGTTTGTCCGCATTTTTTTCATTCTTCTCCTCATAAAGCATTAGAAACGGTCAAGTTAACTCCCATTTTTTCTTCGCCTTATTTCTCCTCTCATAAAGATTAAAATGTTCAAGTAAAAATAGAGGAAGACAAATTTTCGCTTATGGAAAAATATAAAGGCAAAAACAAAAGAATGTTTAGAAATTATTTCGGTACTAGTACTCTTTTTTCCCGTAAATGCCTGTGGACCGAGATATATGGCTCAAACTGCTTCAAATGAGTATTTGTTTGTACAAACCTTTTTTATTCGAAATGTTCATAGGCCCGTATTTCGGTTCAGGGGGGGGGGTACCAAACAAACTAGTACCGAAATAATTTCTAAACATTCTTTTATTTTTACCTTTATATTTTTCCATAGGCGGAAATTTGTCTTCCTCTACTTTTACTTGAACATTTTTTCTTTATGAGAGGAGAAATAAGGCGAAGAAAAAATGGGAGTTAACTTGACCGTTTCTAATGCTTTATGAGGAGAAGAATGAAAAAAATGCGGACAAACATTTGCAGAATTGTGGGGATATAAACGCATAGTACCGTCTTTCCTATATCTCACTCACTCCCTCCCCTCACCTAAGCCAGGAGTGGGGATAGGAAGGGAGGGGAGAGGAGGGAGGGAGGGGATGGGTCTCGCAAAGGAAAGAAGGGATGGGGAAGAAGAGAGGGGGAGAGTCTTTCCTATATCTCACTCACTCCCTCCCCTCACCTAGGCCAAGAATGGGGATAGGAAGGGAGGGGAGAGGAGGAGGATAGAGGAAGGCCCGTCTATATTATGCCAATACATAGTTTGCCAATTAGGCTAAAAATGCACGTCTTGCCAATAAATTTGTTGGCAAAACGTGTATTTTTAGCCTAATTGGCGAAATATGGGTTCTTTCGTAATTACTCCTCTTAAGAATTATGAAATTTAAAAGTCATGCAAATTTAAAAGATGGCACGTGGATATATACACTCTCAATTTTGCTTACTCTCTAAAGCAGTGTTTAAAAGCGTCTTTGCGTTTTGCGGCAAGAAATAGCATTCAAAAGGAGTAGAGACAAAATCGCGTCTCTCATTCCCAATGCTATTTTTTGACGCAAAACGCAAGAAGCTTTTTATTTTTTATAAATTAAATTTTTAAATATTTATATTTAATTTTTTAAATTTTAATTTTAAAAATAAAATTTGAGTGAAAAAATGCACAAAAAACAATTAAAACAAATTAAACCAGGAAAAGAAAAATTTCGGTAAAATTAAAAATAGTCAAACCTCATTATAAGATTAACCTCTGAGGCAAAATAGTATCTTATAATGGGGTGTATATTAAATAGAGGATATTACTTGAACAGGTTCCTGGACTCAAAGGTCTGCCAAACCTTTAGGAAAGGTTGGGGTATTGAGGGGTACCTTATAATGAGCTTACCTTATAAGGAGGTATATATTAAATAGAGGGGGTTTCTTAAACAGCTACCAACTAGATTTTTAGAAAACCCTATCTTAAATGGAGGGATAGCTTATAATGAAGGGTATCTTATGTTGGGAGTAACCTATAATGAGGGGTGCCCTATAATGAGGTGTATATTATATGGAGGGTATTGCTTAAGCAGCTACTCCCATTTAATAGACAACCCATTTTAGCAAAGCGTACCTTAAATGGAGGTGTATATAATATTGGGGGAATCTCTTATTCTAGGGGTGTCTTATAATGGAGGTTTGACCGTACACATATTTTCAAAAATTATAGTAAATTTCAGAAATTTTAAGCCCCAAAAAATATTTAAAAGAATTTTTAAAAGACATTTTTAATTTAAAAAATATAGGCATTTTAATTTGTTGGAAATTTGGCAATATTTATTTTTTAATTATTTGACGATGTTGTTGTTGTACTAAGCTTTGCTGGTCTTGAAATTTGTAAGGTAACAGAATTACCACTTGAACGGATATAAGTAACTGCTGAATGCTGAAAAAATATAATTTTTTTATTAGTCAGACAGAATATCCGCAAAAAAAGTCCGCAAAACGTGTCCGCAAAATTTGTCCGCAAAATTTGTCCGCAAAAAAAAAATCCGCAAAATTTGTCCGCAAAAACAGCCTCCAAAATTAAATAAATATAACTACTTGTGTTGTAACTTCGTGTGCATTAACAGCCATTATACGATCACCAATTGCTAATTTTTCAGCTGCAGAACTGCCTGGCTGAAGAGAAGTTATCTGAAAGAAAACTGGAAGTCAACTGATATATGGGAAGTTTCCGTTTAAACATAAAATCAAGTTCCAAATACTCCTTTTCAAAGACTGAAACTAAACTATGGAACTAACAAGATCTTGGAATCGTCAGATACCCAAATACCAACTCTGGGCCAGGTTGAGAAAAGAGTCAGGCCGGGTCGGCCTTCACAATTTACTTTGGGTCGGATTTTAGTCAGAAAGTCCATGTTTTAGGTAACTCGTAACATTCACATCAGAAACCTAAACCTTGGGGAATGTTTGTCTTCCTAGCCTACATAAAGAGAAAATCCAAAAAAACCTACAAGAATTCCTCTAGGCCTTTTTCCAATCCCCATCCCCCATTGTTGCCCTTCATCCTTTTTAAGAGCAATTAAAAGACTATCACACCCAGCCTCTTTTAAATCTGATCTAAAAGCAGCAGAAGGTTGTTGTTGAATATTTGTAGAAGAGGAAGTTGAAGCTGAACCGCTATTTGGTAATTGACTAATTGGGCGTCTTTGGGAGGAAGAGGTTGTGGTGATTCCGGAGATAGTCTCTTCTGAGGCTACGGTCTCCGCTATGGATTTCTTTGAAAAAAAATTTTTTTTGAAAATTTTTTGAAAAAATTTTTTTGAAAATTTTTTGAAAAATTTTTGAAATTTGGATCATAGCCTACATAAAGAGAAAAATTTTTGAAAATTTTTTGAAAAATTTTTGAAAAAATTTTTTTGAAAATTTTTTGAAATTTTTTTTGAAAATTTTTTTTTATTTTTTTGAAAAATTTTTTGAAAATTTTTTGAAAATTTTTTGAAAATTTTTTGAAAATTTTTTGAAAATTTTTGATTTCTTTCAAGCAAAATACCGACCAGATCCTCTTCACTAACAGGTGATAAATCTGTTCGCCCTGTTAAATTTTGTTGTTGATTGTTCTCGTCATGTAAAGTTATTTGTAGTGTTGGTGGAGGTAATTTGGCTCCAGCAGGAATAGGTGCTGGCGGTGGGGGATCTCTTTAAAAAATATTTGTTGAATAGTTAATCGTATAGATAAGCTATAAATTAGAGACAGAGTTAAAGTGTCGTACGAGAATCGAGATCGATATCTCTCGATAACCGAGATTTTTAATCGAGATCACGTCTCGGTCCGATCTCTACTATAAATTATGGCTGATGGTCCAAGTTGTAAAAATGTCCAAAATAAGTTCCGCAATGAGGAGTCGCGGCTAGTGTACCGGAACCTGCATAGAATCAAGAATGGGCGCAAGAGCTTATTTCAAAATTATACAAAACACAACGCCAAAACCTATGCAAATTTTGGCGTTTTTGGAAAATTTAAAATTTAACCCAACTACGCCTGCCTAGAAAACGAGTATTAATTATCCTTGTTCAACTAATTTATGTAATTATTAAAATGTTTCTGAGGGGGAAATGAGGCAAAAATACGTAAACTTTACCTATTACTTCCATTTTGTTGTTTTAACAAATCTTGTGAATTATTATTAGATTCATTTATATTTTGTTGTTGTTGTAAAGGCATTTGTGTTGTTGTTTCTTCGACAGAATTGTTGTTGTTTTCTGTATTGTTTGAAGGGGGCTGAGCAGAGCGAACACGTTGAGCTGTTTCTGTTAATTTCCAGCGACCAATCTTGAGGGAGACTTTACCGATGCAGGTCTAGAAATAAAATAGAGTAAAACTCTTTATAAGATACACCCAGGAAGCTGAGAAATTAGTTTCTTATAATGAGGTGTATGTTAAATAGAGAGTAATGTCCAGACAGTTCCTCCATCCAGTGACCACCCAGCTTTTAAAAGCATACCTTAAATAGAGGTGTACCTAATTATTGGCGGCATCTTATAGAGAGGTTTGCCTATATGATACCCTCAATAATAGATACACTTCTATTTAAAAGAAGTTTTTCAAATTTGTTGGCCACTGGGTGTAAAATAGAGTGGAATAGAGGTGTGAGTTTCGCGTTTCGTCTTTCGCAATTCGATTTCTTAACTGACTTTCGCATTTCCAATTTCACCTTTCGCTTTTTTAAACCAGTTTCGGCATATCCCTAGCATAAAAGACTGTACAAACGATACCCTCTATTTAAGCTACACCTCATTATAAGAGACAATTTTCTAGCCCTAAGGATGTATTTTATGAGGTTTTAAAATTCACTTTTAAAACAGTAGCAACATCCTCCTGCATCCAATTGGCAACATCGTGATTGTTGACTGCCAAAATTTGATCCCCTTGCATTAAACGCCCATCGGTGTCAGCAACACCTCCTTTAACAATTTCGGAAACATAAACACCAGGCTCATTTTTACGCCCAACAATAGAAATTCCCAATCCTTTCCCAGCCTTTTTCAAAATTTCAATATCGATAATGTTGTATATTTGTGTTGGATCAAGTAAGCTCATTTGTAAATTCTGGTCTGTAAAAACTGAATTTGTATTTTAAATGCTTTTTTGTTTAGATTTAAATTCATTAATTAGAGAATAGGGCGGTTGAGTATCGCAGATGCTTCAGTATCGAGGCCCTATTTTGGGCCATAACTCTTCCGATACTTAAGTGAGCTGAATAATTTATATATCAATCAGAAGCTCTGGATGTGAGGATTATTTTATCTAGCAGGAGTGATTTGATCAGATCAACTTACAAAAAGTTACATTTTGATAAGTGCGCGTGATCGTAATTTTTGATATTTATTCAGCTCTAACCTTCTGTAAAATGATCCGATCAAAACTCACATTGAGAGCTCTCGAATGATATAAAAAGCATAAGTTAACAGTTAAGAAAAAAAGTTATGGTCAAAATATGGAACCGCGACTCTGAAACGCCCTTAGCGTTAATTACCGTAATTTAGCGGAATTTTGTTAATTTGAAAAAGAATATAATCACCTCTATAAACGAGTAGACGTACTTTTGCTGGGGTCCTCCTCAATAAAAGTATAGCTTGTTCATGAGTACTGTTCCGAAGAGAAGTGTTGTTTACCTACAGAATTAATTTTATTTTACAGTTGGATAGGAAATTAGGTAAATAGAATACAAATAGGTAAACCTCTCGATAAGGTACGCCCGATATAAGATACACCTCCATACTAGATAACCTCTATTTAAGAGACGTTTTTCTAAAATTATGGTTGGCTCTTGGGCGGAGAAACTGCCAAAGCGATACCCTTCATTTAAGGTGCACTTCATTATAAGAGACAATTCTTTAGTAACAATAGGTGTATCAAGGGTGTGCCCTGAGGGGGATCTTATGTGAGGACCTCCCCTTTAAGCCCTCTATATCCAATTTTCACTATACTACCTCAAAGACTTGATCGCCAGGCTTCAGACGGCCGTCGATTGCAGCGGCTCCATCAGGATAAACTTCATGAATTATTACAGTACCCAGTACAGTATCCGATCCACCAACAATACTTAAACCCAGCCCTTTACCATCCTTGTCAATTTCAATTAATGTCTCTTGCCCAATTTGAATAGGGCATTTTTGGAGAAATTGGGATTGTTGTTGTTCCATTTGCCAGCTTCTTTTTCTGGCTAAAATTTTTTTATTTTAGAGGTAAATTATTGAGAAGGTATGGATATAATGGAAATTTTAATGGAGCAATTATAGTGGAATAAGCTTATACAACTCTCAAATAACTCATAACTTTAATCCAACCGTAGGCCAATTCGATCCCTGAGGATCGAAAATTCTGATATAACACTCAACTCCTTCATGTATACGACACCTGATTCGGTCTGAAGTGTGTCGTATTAGTGGGATTCAAGTGTACAGTAAGGAAACGATTAGACAAGAGAGAGGAGTTTTATAGGTCTGAGAATATACGGAGTCATCGCCTCTTGTAGCTCCGTAGGCAAAGGCACCACCTAAATAAGGTGAGCAGGGGTGCTCTCTACGACGCGGAGGGAGGGGAAGAGGCAGGGGACTAAGACAGGTCTCAATTCCCAGACTTTATAGGAGTTGGAAAACCTTAAGTTGGCAAAACTCTTAATAATAATTAATTTTCGGCATAAAAAACAGAACGCCAACCAAACGCCAAAAAATAGAAAGACAAAATCTCAGAATAACAAAATAAATGTGGTTATATTATTAAAGAAAAGAAGCTTTAAAGCAGAAACTCATCAAAAAAAGCGAGAAAAAGCACTATTATAGAGGTAATACTTCATTCACAAAAAGCTGCCACTCACTAAAAATTATGAGAAAGAACAGTTTTGATGAGCTTTAAAGAAAAGTAGGAAGGAAAAAGTTGGGGGGAAATAACACAAAATTCCCATGAGAGAAAAAAGGAAAAGCATAAAAAATCTTTAAAAAATTGAGTCGAGAATTGAGTGGAGAAAAGGGAGGAAAGGAAGAAAAAGAGGAAAAAAAGGAAGAAAAAAAATATTTTTTGTGAGGGATGCTTTAGGCGACTAAAAATGTTTTTTAAAGAGTGGATAAAGCTGTTGGAGGGATGTTTATTATGAGGGGGGTTTTGAAGGAAATAAGCAAAAAACTAAAAGATTTTTTAGTGAAAAAGGAAGAACGGGATCGGGAAAGAAAGGAAGAAACTAAAAACAAAGAAAGGACCTACCTATATCAGATTTCGTTGATTGAGGACAAAATAAAGTGGGGAGGGGAAAGGGATTGGGAGACATCTGCGAAACACTAAAAAAATTTACAGAGAAACGAAACAAAACGAAACTGAAGAATTATGCGAAATAAAAGGAGGGTTTCGCAAATGTCTGTGTGGGGTTTAAGTAAATAATCTTATCCTAGTAAGACGGATGTGAATGTAAAGGAATTTCAAGTATTTTTTCAATTTTTGAGGTATTATTAAGTTGAAAATGTCTGAAAAAACTTGCCGGTACTACTGAAGAAAAGGGTGCTTTTTCTGCGGACTTATTTTGCGGACTTTTCCTTTCCTTTACATGTTTTACTTGTAGCAACTAACTGTCAACGGCCCTCCCCCCATTATTTTTCTTACCTAAGATTGTACACAATGGTCAGATTTTCTTCTTTCTCTTTTCCTCTATTTGCCGTGTGGCATATTCAAACAAAAGACATTGATACAGAGAAGATTAATTTTATTTTTTTCATTTCTGTTTAAATGTTTTGCTTATAGCAACTAACAGTCAACGGATTATTTTTTATGCCGGTCTGAAAAATGTCGTTCACAAATAATTTAAACATTATAAACGAAAAAAATGTTACAATCAATAAAAAATTTTACTTTAACTAAATTGTATGATAAAATTAAATTACCCAATGATGAATTTCAACAATGGATCACTGATCTCGGAATGCTTCATAGAAAAAGAACATGTGATTGTGGAAAAGAAATGCGTAAAGAGAAGCGTGGACAAAATGGAAGATGGATATGTAAGAAATCAGTATGCAGAAAAACAAAGGGTGCTTTAGTTGGAACATTTTTCGAAAATTCAAAACTTTCTTTGACACAAATCATACAGGTACAATTTTTCAACGACATAAAACTGAATTTGGTACTGCTGAAACAACGTTTGAAAGTTATATGAATGAGTTTGTATGGAAACAGAAATTTGGAGGAGATGACTGTTTTTTTCATTTAATTTCACAAATAACAAATAATCAAAAATATTTGTGCGAATAAAAATTAATCCTTTGACAGTTAGTTTGCTACAAGCTAAAACATTATCTTTTAAAAAAAAGGGAAAAAGAAGGAAAGGAAAAGTCCGCAAAATAAGTCCGCAGAAAAAGCACCCTTTTCTTCAGTAGTACCAACTTGCCAAATTGAATTCGCAAGAACATTTTTTGCGAAGGTAATACAAGGATTGGCAGTTCCAGATATCCGGAACCAAAAAACCCCGGACATGCGAATAATTCGGTTTCGGAACCTGGAGATTTCCAGGATACGCTAACCTTGCTGAATAGTTTACCTACACTTTTTTCTGTTTTTAGAAAAACAGAAAAATATATATTAAGTAAAATGAGAAAAAATATTATGTATTTGTATTAGTAATTTCAATTGAGGATTAGAAAAAGAGGGTAAAAATGCCAGGAAACGAGAGAGAATATGTGCCGAAAGGACAAACACACGTTTATTGTGGGGTGACAGCGCAATGAGCATTCACAGAATAATATTTAGAGAGTTTTGTCAGTTAAGCTTTACATAAAATTTATAGAGAGAAAATATTAGAGAGGGCTTTTAGTTGTATATTTTTATAATTTTATTTTCAATTTGTCTCGGCTGTAAAAGCGCTTTCACACATAAAAAAAACTTTTTCTTTTTTATTTGCGCCATTTAGTGCTGAAAAGTGATATAAAAATATAGGGAAAAGCTGATAGAGTGAAAAATATATAGAAAAACAGGAGTGTGCCAGTTTCGCCTTTCGTGTTTCGTCTTTGGCAAGTTTCGTCTTTTTTAGTTCTTCCCCTTTCGACTTCCGTCTATTTAGTTAAATTTCGTTTTGTCTTTCGTCTTTTGCTATATTAGATTCAACAAGGGGTTCGTAATTTCGCATTTCGTTTTTTAATTTAATTTCGTGTTTCGCTATTTCGCCTTTCAATTTTTTAAATCTATTTCGCTTTTCAAATTTTGTATTTTATTTTTAAATTTAATTTCGTTCTGAATTAATCGCAATATATAAAATTCGTTTCGGATCCCTGATAATTGAAAAAAATATTTTTAGGAGTGAGCCAGTTTTGTATTTTTTTAATCTCTCCAAGTTTCGTCTTTTTAAGTATTTCGAAGTTTGTACATTTCGTCTTTCGTTTTTAAATTTAATTTCGTTTTGGCTTTCGTCTTTCGCTTTAGACTTGTTGAGGGTTTCGAAATTTCGCATTTCGTGTTTAAAATTTAATTTCGTGTTTCGTTATTTAATCTTTCGTTTTTATATTCGTGTTCGGCATACTCCGACATTACTTTTTTATTGCGAAGTATGAGCTTCTAATTAAGAAAATTTTAAAGAAACTCTCAAAGCTAAAATTTTTAAAAAGATGATGAATTAATAAAGAAACCCTTTGTTTAAAAATTTTAATAAAACGAAGATTGATGAGCTCTAAGAAAAAAGAGAGATATAAAAATAGAAAGAATTTATAAAATGGATTATAAATTAATAAAGAAATTTTAAAAATTCAATGGAGGGATTTATTAAAAAATTAGTAAAATAATTAAGAAGCCTTTTATTTAAAAATAAAGAATAAAGAACATAAAAATTTGAAAAAAAAATCTTTTTTAATTTTTGTTTAATTTAGAAAAATTTTAAAAAAATAAAGGTAATTGACGTAATTAATTGTAATTGCATTTTTGGCAAATTATGTGTTGCAAAAAATACTAAAAATAAGCAAATAAAGAGGAAGCGCTTTCTACAATTGCTAATTGCGAATTAAATTGCGGAATATGCTTGCCTAAAAAGTTCTTAATCTGATAGAGGATAAGCCTTGAAAAATCCCAAAATAGATAGGTACATACATTAGAACATACTAAAGAAACTAGAGACCGGACTGGGTGTGTCGTGGGAAAAGCGAGAACTCAAAAAATGCTCGATCTCGATAATCAAAATATTCCATCGATATCTCGTCTCGGTCCGATCTCTAATCCAAACCTCATTATGTATAAGATACCAAGCAACATGTGGGTAGCTTAAGGTCTTAATATATGAGGTCTACAAGGTCTTCAGATATCCTTTTAAAAATTTTGATAGGCTACGGGATGGGGAAGTTAATTAAACGATTACCCCCTATTTAAGATACAACTCCCTATAAGTTCATTATAAGATACGCTCAAAGGGTTATTTAAATATTCAATATAGCAGTAGATATCCTTACTTATTTCCTAGCAAATAAACAACCCCATTTTTATTTATTTCCCCTTAGGGGTTAACGGAAATGCCAATAATATATACACACACAATTGCTTCATTCAGCCGTATATATAAAATGCCTTGAAGGAATGCTTTTTTAAAATAAAAAAGCAGCGTTTACCCAACTGGCATTTACAGAAAATATAATTTTTATCGATTTTTTCTGAAAAATTTTTAGGCTGTTACATATTTTGCCAATTCCACATTTCGCCAATAAGGCCAAAAATACACGTTTTGCCAATAAGCTTAGTGACAAAATGTGAATTTTTACCCGTATTGGCAAAATGTGGAATTGGCAAAATGTGTTGTCGCGAAATTTTTTCTCTTTAAAAAGCTGAGGGAAAAGCTAAAGCTAATAGAAAAGTTTTTTTATATTTTGTCAAAATAAGGCAAGCAACGTAATTGAGGGAAAAAAGAAAATGGATAGAAAAATAGGAGTGGCGCAGAAAATTGAATTTAGTTAGTAGAGTTGAAAATAAGCCAGAGGGGTTAATAAAAAATAAAGTGACAAGAAAATAAGAAAATAAATAGCTAAATAAAATTAAAAATAATAAGTAAGATTGGGAAATCCCCGGATATCCGACTTTGTAAATATTAAAGTGCTCTGTGTGCGCTGGAATTTTTGCGGGACACGCCCACTTAGTCGCGCGGCCACTTAGTCGCCGAGCCATAACTTGCTAAAAAATTTCTGGCCCTTATCAATTTTGGTACCAATCTCTTTAGCTCGATGAGAGGAATCGTTTAATACCAAATTTGGAAAGATTCGGAAATCTTAAAGCAAGTTATGGCTCGGCGACTAAGTGGCCGCGCGACTAAGTGGGCCGTACCCAATTTTTGCGGATATTTTTTACCGCGGAAATCAGATAATTTAAAAGAAAATACGGTAGTTGAAAAATAAAGCCCCATGCTCTAGAGACCCACCCTAAAATAGAACCCCACTTTGGAGGATAGTTGAGAAGCCCCGTGGGGCTTTATTTATAGGAAATACTGTACTTTAAAACAAAAAAACGACTCACAAATAGGCTCATTGTTTGAATTGCCAGAATCATTTTGCGTTGTTGTTCCAGGCAAAAGTCCGTCTTTTGCAGATTGTGAACAACCATCTTCTGGCTATAAAAATAAAATAATTTTTATTCATTTAAATTTTAAACAGCTTTTCTATTAATTTTCTTGAGGGTTTCTAAAATTATTCTTGAATAGAGTAAATATTGCCTTTAAAGGAGGGTTAGTCTTGGTCTCAAGTCCGGAACAACACTGAATCCGGCTTATGAAGTCTGTTTTGGGTCTGAGTTTGGTCTTGAATAGGAAGCGCTCTAGAACGCCCTATCCCAAGTCCCTTCCCCTCTTACGTCTACTCAATTCGCCTCGAGAGGTGAAGCAAAAGAGAGAGATTCCATGTATCTTTAGATTAGATATTTAAAATTAAAGAAAACACCGAATTTCCAAAACGCCCAACAACAATATTGCTAATTTTTCGAATCATTTAAAATTAAATAATAATTGAAAAAAATTTTTTTGTTTTTGCTTTAGTGATAAAGAAAATAAAATTTAGTGCGCAAATGTCGTGGCTTCGCAATTGTTGCGACGCAATGAAAACTTGCAGAAAAACTTGGGTGATAAAGAAAATAAACTTGGTGAAGTAGTAAAATAAACTTGAAACAAAAATAAATAAACTTGGGGGAGAAATTACATAATATGTAAATTTTAAAATAAATAGTAATAATAATAAATGCAAATTTAGTATAGAGTATTTATAAAAATATGTATGTATATTCTCAAAATAAATATTTAACAATAAAAAAAATTTTTTTTCTTATTGTTAAGTTAGAATTAATTTTAAAAAAATTTTTAATTTGAAGGAGTTTTTAAATATAAAAAAAATTCTTCAAAATTTGAGAAGCATCTATGGGGATTATTTTTTTTTAAATGAAGAATAGAAAAAAAGAGAAAAAGCAACTGCAACAAAAAATTTTATTTTTATGTGGGGGCGTATTGAAAATTAAATTTAAAAAAAGGCTTATCCTTTTTTAAAATATAAAAGTTTTTGGAGGAAATAAAAAAAAGAGAGAGGGTTAGAAGAAAGGAGTTGAGGGGACGAAGAGAGGAGCGTAGAGGGAGAGTTGTGGGAGAAAATAAAGTAAGTTTATTTAGCTTTTTTTATTTTTACAAAAATAAAATGTCGTCATTAAAATTTTTTTCTAAATTCTTTTTTTAATAATTAAATAAAAAAAATTTCCAAAATTTTTTAAAAAAATCTTTTTTTCACTATTAAGTGTCCCAAAGGATTTTGGTTTGTACGAAACTCGTATTTTGCAATAATATTCTTTTGGACTGAGAAATGTTGAAAATTTAATAGAAAAGGTTTTATAAAAATAAATGGATACTTTGTAAAAATAATTGCGGACTATTTTTTGCGGATAATTTTTTTGATGATTTTTGCGGACGGAATTTTTTTGCTGATCTCTTGCGGATTTTTTTATGTTTTTTTGCGGATTTTTTCAAATATTTTGTGGACAAAAAATTCTTTCGGATATTTTTGGCGAATTTTTTGTGGATAATTTAAGTGGACAATTATTTTTGCCTACAGATTTTCCCATACAAAAATTTTTTTCATAAATCATAAGATAACCCACCGGTTCAATTTTTACTTCAGGCATTTGTTGTTGTTGCCTTGCAAGAATTTCTGAGACAATTGTTCTAGCACCTAATTCGCATTCGCTTTCACTTGTATATTCCTTTTCTGGGGATATTGGGGCCTAAAAATGGCAAAGATTAAAATTAAATTAAGTTTTTATTGAATCAAATCCAAAGAATTTTTTCAAAACTTTGCTTAAACCCTAACGTGGGGAGGGGTTGTGAAAAACGTTGGAAATTGGAAATTGGAATTACAACAAAAGCCTTTTGACTGGGTAAACTAAAGGCTATGACTTGAGGGGTTGTCGGGCAAGAGCTGAATTAAAACGAGGAACCGAGGAAGAAATAATAACTGACCAAGGCTTGGAAATTAAAAAAAAATTGTCTCTAAAAATTTCTACTCCCCTCTCTCCCCTTATAAGCCTGGAGGATCTCGGGAAATCATCGGACATCCAGATCTAATATTCGAGAATTTAAATTTTGAATATTCGGACTTTTTCGGATCCAGATGCTTGAAATAAAAAATTATTTTTTTATTTCATATCGATGAATCACGAAAATCGAATCGACGAAATGAAACGAAATTTCGAGTATCCTTGATCCGGATCCAATAATCCTTTTCCCTCTTACGTTATCTAGATTTGTATTCACAACAGTCTCTATTGTTGTAGTAGAGGTTGATTCTTTTTCTGTTGATTGTTGTTGAACTTCTTTTGTTGTTTCTTCTTGTTTTCTCAAAACTAGTAATGATAAACTGCTATGTTGACAACATTTTCTAATTTTTTCTGTTGCTTCTAAATGGCTTAGGCCAAAAAGAACAAGTCCATTAATCTTATTTTGAATTAAAAAACTTAAAAAAACACAAGAAAGTACCTCAAGTAATTCGTCACCAACTTTTAATGAAAGAGGAGAATCTGATTTGACACCAACAACGATAACTGGGGGACGATTGGCACCCTGGAAAATTAAATAAACTTCAAAAATACCAATCAGACCACATTATAAGACCCTTTGGGGGCAGAAAATTTTAGTCTCTTATAATGAGATGTAGGTTAAATAGAAGGTATCGTTTAGATTTACTTATTTATCTATGGTTAAATTTGGTTGGCCCCTGGGTGAACCCCATTTAAATAGGGGCCCGCCTATTTAAGAATGAGGAATTGATGGTGGAAGATATTAGAATCCCAGAGGTGTTAAGAGCTAAGTAGGGTTAATGGTTTCGGTATACCGCTTGATCTAGCATATAGCTGACCGTAATCAATAATATAGAAGCACAGTTGGAATGTTCTTCAACTGGATAAAAGAGTGACTCACAGTCCAGGCCGACTGAAGCTAAGAGATACCCCATTATAAAAAATTATTTTTCAGCTCGAGGGTTTCATGAGGATCGACCTCCATTTAAGATACACTTTATTATAAAGTAAGATCGCAAGGTGTATCTTATAATGAGGTCCCAATGTTTAACACAAACAAAAAAAATTCCAGCTACCTCATCTCGTCTTGTAGAAAGGATAAGTCCAAGACCCCCAGGGGGAATATTTGGCATACGTATTAGTACAGGTTTTCCCGGCAAATCAGAATACTTCTTTAGCACCTTTCCTTTAAAAAATAAACTTTTTTTTTCAAATTTTTTCAAATTTATTAAACACTATACTTTTAGTATAATGAAATATATCCTCTACTTCCTCATCCTCTCCATCCTTTTCTAAGGCTGCTGCACTTGCTGAATCTATTTCAACAATAGCGGGAGAAGGTGGAATGGATAGTGATGTTTGGCCTTCACTGATTATTGAAGTTAGTGAAGCTTTCTTTGAATTCTGAAAAAGAAGATTTCTCTTGTCCGCAAAAAATTTTTGTCCGCAAAAAATTTTTGTCCGCAAAAAAATTTTTTGTCCGCAAAAATTTTGCGGACAATTTTTGCGGATTTTTTTTTATTTTGCAGATTGTTATGTATACGATTAAATTTTTCAATCCTAAGGGGTCAACTTATATTTTGAAAATATTCCTTCCATAAATCCTCTCCCTACCTCCTTCTCTCTAGCAACAAATGTTTGCAAAGATTGTAATGATTGCACAACAAAACAGACAGGATTTGAAGCATTTTTAATTGCTTGAACAGCATTTTCATGTGTTGTATTTAACAAATCTATTTCATTTACTTTAAGTAGTCTATCCCCCATAAAAAGTTTTCCACACCGTCCAGCCGGGGAATCGGCAATAACTGATTTGATAAAAATGCCAGAAACGGTACTAGACAATGCTGGGGAAGAAGAGCCGAGAGTCGAAGTAGTAGCCATTTCAATACCTTTTTGGCTAACTTCTACACGGCCTCCAACAATGCTAATACCTTGAAAAGGTTTTATAGTGTACATGTCCTTCGATAAAAAATCCGGGTCCTTTGAGACGTAAACAAAAGCCTCATTCTATTGTCCGCAATTCTTGTCCGCAAGTTTTTGTTCGAAAGTTTATGTCCGCAAGTTTCGTCCGCAAATTTTGTCCGCAAGTTTTAAGTAACAAATTTTTGTCCGCAACATTTGTGTGCAAGTTTTTGTTCGCAAGTTTTATGTCCGCAAGTTTTGTCCGCAAATTTTCGTCCGCAAGTTTTGTCCGCAAATTTTTGTCCGCAAGTTTTGTCCGCAAATTTTTGGTCCGCTTTTTGTCCGCAAATTTTTGTCCGCAAATTTTAGTCCGCAAGACGATTTATTATTATCTCATGAGAATTATTCTAAAAGTATTACCAAACGTTTCATTTGGATGCCTCTGTAAAACAACACTTCTCGGCTCACTCCAAAAATTAATAGGTTCTCTACTAGGTTCTCTACTTGCAGATTCTCTATTGTTAGATTCATCTAATCTTGGACTTGTTGGAAGGCTATTTGAAGTTGTTGGAATATTATCCAGAGTATCCGATCTAGATCTACTGCTACTTCTATTCATCTCTATATTTGACGTTGTTGCTGGTGTTGTTGTCATGTATTCTAAATTTTGTTGTTGTTCTTCTGGGGGTTTGGAACGCTTCTTTAAAAAATAAAAATTAATATCGAATTTTGTGACTAAAATCAAAAGTTTAAGCGTCCAAAAATATTTTCAGGTCTTTTTCCTTAAAAAGGCTCATAATGGTAAAACTTCATTTTTTAATTTAATTTTTTCCTTTATGGCATTCAATCCTTCAATAAGGGATTAGAGCGTAAATTAAGTAGGGGGAAAGTCTGTGAGATACTATTGAGGAAGGGGTGAAGGGGCAAAACACGGAACAGACAAAACACTGGATCTGGATATTCGAAGAGTTTCCAGGATTCACTAAGCCTAGGTAACTGAGCCAAAAAATGAGAATTAAAATTTAAAAAAATTTTTTTTAAAAAAGGAATTCTCCCTTTCCCACAAATACAAAAAAAATTATTTTTTATCTCATTCTTGCAATGTGTCTCTCTCTTCCCTTATCTATAAATGAAGAAAGCACCAACATTTTATTTAAGTATATCCTTTCATCCAGAAAAAAAAAACTAGAAAATCAATTATATATGCCATTCTCTCCTTACCCACTTTATTTTATTTTTATAAGAAGGCGGCCACTTCCGTTTATTTCCTTCTCTTTTAACACCCTTGGGAGAGACTTACAAATTTTTTAACATTAAATATTCCCCCTTTAATTCCTATTAATTTTTAAGCTCTGGAGACTTTGGCTATAAAATTAATTTTCTTGTTTTTATTGCCAGTCGATTATCTTGCTATTGACAGTCGGACCTCAGAAGATACCCCTATCAGTACTAAAAATAGAGGTGTATTTTAAAGAGTCTAATTTCGTTATAAAATACGCCCTTGGGGTATCGAACGCTAAACTAGGGTTAACATTAAAATGTGGGGTATCTCTAAGGCACCTCTCACCAACGTATACTATTAAATATATCTAGTATTGGGGGCATCTAATAATGAAGGTATATTATAATGGGGATATCTTATAAAGAGTTACGCCCAAATTTCCAATCCGCAACTTTTTATCCTCAAGTTTCTCTTCCCTAGATTCAAAAGTGTTATTCACCTTTCTAAACGAAGATGCCGCTCTTCTAAGTATTCCTTTTTGGGGTTTAGGCGGTGGTTGAGTGACAGCAATTGAAGCAGCTCTTAAAGCACGAGGAGGTGATTTTATTGGTTTTGGCGAAGAAATAGTTGATGTTGATGGGGATGGAAGTGAAGGTGCTGTTGCCGCAATATTGGAATGTAAAATACTTTGTTTATCTCGACTCCAAAGAATGTAAAGATCAAAAATTGCATCAGCTATTATTGCCTTTGAAAAAAAATTTTTTTAGAGGTAATAGAGTGGAATCTCTAGGAATCCAAAACTGAATCCAAAATTTTCGTTCCGAAGATCGGTTTGGATAAGAATTCCGGATCCAGACAACTGGAAGATTTTCCAGTATCCGTCAATCTTGTTAGATCCTCTTTCACGTTGGATAACCTCGGTCCTTAGAGAGAAGTTAGAGAGATTCGACTGTAGGGTCGTCTAATGTAGATTTTTCTCAATTCTTTGGAGGGTTCCCAAACGATACCACTAGTAGTAATATTATTAAAGTTAAACAAGACTATTTTTCCGAAAAAGTCACCTTTTGAAGATTATCAACAAATCTTTCAAAATTTAATTGACTCATTTGGGTCAATTCCTCTTTTCTCGATTTTCCCTCTTCTTCAAATATTTGTGAAGTTGATGGAAGTAAATATCGTTGTTCATCATTATTTGGAGAGTGTAATTCACTATTTGGAATGCTATCTAAGGCATTTGTTGTTGTTGTTAATATTTGTTGTTGTTGTTCATCTTCATTAAATAGTGGACTTTTGTAGAATTTTGGATAAACTCTAAAATTTAGATTTTTTAAAGAATTATGAGCCGGTACGGTTCTTCAGTTTGGTTTGTAGGAAAATGGAGGATTTCTAGCTTCCTGACTAACTTATAAAAAATATCCGGGTATGCAGTTACCATCGATAGGGTTCGAGCCGATTAAAAGATCTGACTTTAGCCTTCATTTTTGGTCTTCAATTTAAAGTTAACCCGTCCGAGCACGATTCTAACCCCCGAGTGTGAACCTAAAAAAGCCCACGAGTCCTAAGATTAATTTAAAAAATTCACTTTGGCGATAGCCTAGAACTTTCAAAAACATTCTGTTGTACTGAACGTATTTGTTGGATACTATCATCTGTAGGAAACATTGAAACACTGTCTAATCTATGGAAACGATCTTTCCACAATCTGGCATCAGATGCAGTTATATATGAAATACTAAAAGAATATTTTTTAAAGATGATTAAAACCCACTTGAGGGAGAAAAATGTTAAGATACCTAATGATACGAGACACCCTTGAAGGAGAAAAAATGAAACTTATAACTAGGGGTTTTCGAGTCGGGCCGACGTTCGAGTCAGGGCCTCATTTCTATCGGAATGAGGCTTAAATATTGGAGGTATCGCTTAAGCAGCTCAAGCTGTCTTGTGTCAGCCAAATTAAAATGTATCTGGAATAAGGAGGATTATTTGGTATTCCTCTTTATAAGAGACGCTTCATTATAAGACCTAATCACCCCAAAGGTCTCTTATAAAGAGAGTCGACATTTTTAAAGAAAAAAATAATTCGCTAAATTTTACTTGCACTGAGCTCCAATCAAATTAGCCCTTTTCAAAATAGCCCTAGCCTGTGCATTAGTAACATTTCTCAAATTTTCACCATTTATTTTAACAATAAAATCGCCAGGCTAAATAAAAAAAATTTTTTTTCAAAATTTTTTCCTTCCCCACACCTGTATTCTTCCATCTTTTGCCAAAGCTTTTTTACTACAAATATTTTTTGCAACACAACCATTAATTGCTTTGTCAGCATCAGCGTCCAATACAACGCCCAAGGGTAACGAACTTTTTAAAATTTTTATGTGCCGTTCAAGGTGTGAAGGCAGAAATACAATATCTTTAAATTTTAAATTAATTTTTCGTATTTTGTTTAAATATTAAGAAAACCCTAGTGTGAGATCCAAGCGTCAATTCGAATTTAATATACCCCTCATTATAAGACACCCACAATATATCCCTATTAGAGACCCGACCGAGACGAGATCTCGATCAAAAATCTCGGTTAACGAGAACGAGAATTTTTTGAGATCTCGATTCACAGACGACACTCACAGTCCAGGCTCTAATCACTATACAAGACACACCCTTCTCTTACTAGTTTTTGTTAGGATTTGTTTGATCACTGGGTCTAAGGGATGGGAGGGCAATCCGTTTTATAAGGTAGAAGGTTTTATTTTATAGTAAGGTTTTATTATTTACCATAAGACCAAGAACCTCTCAAAGAGGCAGCAGGTGAGGCACACGGAGAAAGTGAACGACTTGAGCATGGGGTCCAGGCGGAAACTGTGGCTGTTTGCATAGGAGAATGGGTAGGACTCTAGAAAAATTATTTTTAATGAATTTTTGCTGGAAATTAGTTAAAGAATGTCCAAAAAAATTTTTTGTAAATTCAGCTGAATATCATACCTTTTTTATTTATTATTTATTTTTTAAAAATTATTCACAATCAGCAAAATTAAAAATTTTTTTTCTCCCCCAAAAAATAAGAGAGAGAGAATGAACGATAAATACAAATAAGGAACGAAATAAAATTGATATTAAAGCAAAAAAATTAATTAATGTTAAAAAAAAATAGTTAATTTGCTTGGTTGGAATTTTATTTTAACAAATAAAAATATGTAAATTCCCAAAAATTAAAATTTAGAAGAACTACAATACTTACTTTTGGAGTAGATGCCAAACTACTTGGAGAAGGGAAATATAACTGGAAAATAAAATAAATTAAATTTTTTTTAAATTTCCAATTTTCAGAAATAGAGTGATAGAATCCCTGAGATACAGCGGGGAAGGCTTCGCCTCCCCTTTTTTGGCCCTTAAGCTTCCAAATACTTGTGCCGCCTTTTTAAATGTGGCAGAGTTCAAAATGTCTTTAATATTTTTAAAATACCTGTGGATTTAAGCACCGTTGGGAATTATAAAGAGAATTGTGTTGTTGTTGACCTATCCAAATCTCTTCTTGACTGGATCCGGTCGAAAGAAAGCACTAAGGGGAAAATTGATTTAAAAAATTTTGTTTTTACTTAGGGTTGGATCTCCGACCCCTTATAGCCCTTAACTCTTTTCGTCTAAAACATCAAAAGTTTCAACTTTGACGACACAGACCCCGAGCAATTTTTAGGTGACCCCGACATGAATTAATATAATTTATTAATCTTTAAAATCCTTTGGGGGGTTTTTTTTAGAATTTTCTTTAGAAAAAAAATTTTTTTTTGTTCATTGCAACGACAAAAAATAAAAATTTTTATTTTTATTTTTATTCCAATGCAAAAAAGAGGAGAAAAAAGTAAAAGCCAAAAATATATTTAAATGTTAAAAAAGAAGAAAAATAAATATAAATAAATTTGTCAACCGCCCAAAAGTGGATGGCCAAACAAAAAAAATAAAAAAAAAGAGAATTAACCGTCTAAAAATTCCTTAATATTTAGTGGTGGCTTTTACTTTATTTTTGCCTTTTTTCTTTAAATTTAAATGAATTTATTTTTAAGTGGAAGTGACATTATAGTAGTGCTTTTTAGTGTTATTTTTAAAAAAATGTAGCCACTCCTCGCTAGAAGGGGTTGGTTTGAAGTCTCTTATAATAAGGTGTACATTAAATAGAGGGTTTCACCCATGAAGCTACCCATTAGCTTCATGGGGCACCCATTATAGCAAAAACTCCTGGGGGAGGAAAGGTCTCTTATAATAAGTGTACATTAAATAGAGGTCTCACCCAAAAGCTACTCATTATTTTAAAATAAAGTCAAAACCCCTGGGGGTGGAAAAGTCTCTTATAATGAGGTTTGGTAAACAGAAGATCCTCGCTATAAGGAGTTGGGTTGAAGTCTCTTATAGTGGATGGCCAAACAAAATAATAAAAAAAATCACGTCTTTTTAAAATTTTGGTTGACCAACCACATGTAGGGAGAAGCTGCCTAATGAGTATCTTCTATTTAGGATACTCTATAATATTGAGGGTACTTATACTGGGTGTATATTCTAAAGAGGGTTTAATTTTATTTTTTCTGATAAGTTGTAAAGGAGGCTTATTATTTTCTAGGATTACCTGGTCAGCAGTGTTGAGCAATTGAAGGCTGCTGCTTTCGCGACGTCTACGCCTCCTCCCTCGCGGTGAATGCGATTTTGCTTGGAAACGTTCACTTTGAGAAATTAGCGGTGATGTACTTAATCGGCACTAAAAAAGGACAAAAAATTATAATTTTAGTAATAAAAATTATTTTTAAAGACAATATGTACTAGTGTTCGGCATTTGCGATTTTTCGAGATCGAGATTATCGAAAAATCTCGATCTCGAAAAAATCTCGATTTTTTCAAAAATTGATCGAGACGAGATCGAGATCGATAATCTCGAAAAATCTCGATCTCGAAAAATCTCGGTCCAAAATTTTCGAGATTATCGCGAGATTTCGAGATTTTTTATAATCCCTTAGAATTGAATAAAAATTTATTTCAATCAATATAATTATGATCTAAATGTAAATTTAATATTTGTAATGAATCAATGGAAGGGTTTGGTTAAGGAATATCAACATTTCAGCTTTTTCTGGACTCAAAAGTGAGCGACGATAATCGAAAACGTCTCTTGCAATTGAAAAAACTTTTTTACTATCTACTGAAGTAGCTTTGGCTGAAAATCCTGAAATCCTGCCAATGCGGTCATTTTTTTCCAGGATCCTGTCCAGGATTTCGGGATTTTAAAAAATATGTAGTGGCCTCCACAAATTTCAAAAAATTTTCGCCTGCGGTGCTGAAAAACGAGGGAGGTATCTAATTTTTGCGGAGGTATCAACCCGACAAGTAAAGTCATTCAAGTTAGAGCGATTAGAATTCATTTAAATATATTCGGGGGATTAACAAGATCTAGAGGGCAAAGAAGGCTACTGGTGGAATAAGAGAAACATCTAGCGCTAAGAGGATTGGAGGTGATTCAAAGGATTTGGGATGATTAAGAGGAATTAAAAGCGAACGGAAGCAAGCAGCCTTAAAACATGCGAGCATAACCTTTGATAACTCTTCTCTTATATCACATACTTCTTCACTTTTCTACGCCGCAGGCAAAAATTTTGAGAATTTTGGGGGGGGGGGGGGGCAAGAAGCCAGATTTCTTCCTTTTTCAGCGCCGCAGGCGAAAATTTTGAAATTTTTGGAGGACTCGAAGCCAGATTTCTTCCAAAAAGTCAATCTTTAGGAGTCCTGAACAGTGAAAATTATTCAGGACGGGTCCTGTATCAGGATTGGGTTTTAAAATTTCATACAGGACAGGATCCTGCAGGATTAATCCTGAAAATCCTGGAATCCTGACAATCCTGAAAACTGAAAAAAAGGCAGAATTTCGGGGGTCGAACCCAAAGTGGGACGAAACAAAAGGGGACGAAACAAGTTTTTTACATTGGGACGAAACAAAAGTTTTGTTCAGGGGGACGAAACAAAAGGGGACGAAACAAGTTTTTTACATTGGGACGAAACAAAAGTTTTGTTCAGGGGGACGAAACAAAAGGGGACGAAACCAAAGCTCGCCAATTGAAACAAATAATAATTAACAAAACGCCAAAATTTATAAATACTGATCACGAAAAATCTTTTTTAAAAATATCGAAATATCGAAAAATCTCGCGATATTTCTGACTTGACCGAGACGAGATCGAGATCGATAATCTCGAAAAATCTCGATATCGAAAAATCTCGATTTTTTCAAAAATTGATCGAGACGAGATCGAGATCGATAATCTCGAAAAAAATCTCGCGATATCTCGAAAAATATCGTCGATATATCGTCTCGTGCCGAACACTAATATGTACATGAGAGATAAAATTAAAAAGAACAGATTATTCAAAAAAACATTTGAAATTGAAGTCGGAAATCTCACTATAAGACACATCGACTAAATCTATTTCGTTGTTATGCAGGTCAGTTCGACCCTGAGGCGATGTCATATTAGAGGGAAATTACCTAAACAATACCCTCTGTTTAAGATATAGATCGTTATAAGGTAGATATAAGGTACATCTCTATAAGATAACATAATAGATACACCTCAGGGGCGTGCCGAAACGGATTTTAAAAAGCGAAACGCGAAACGCGAAAGGCGAAATTTAAAAAAGCGACACGCGAAACGCGAAACTCGCACATCCCTGATACACCTCTATTTAAGAGACGCTTTTAAAATTTGGTTGACCAATATGTAAGGAAAGATGCAAAAACGATATTTGCAATCTACAATACACCTATCTTATTATGGGGTATTACAATGCTTTAAGAGGAGAAGAAGTCCGACTGTAAAAATTAATAAATAAAAAAAATTTTGATTTTGATATTTAAAAAATTCTTTCAAATTCTTCCCCTCCCTCAATTCAATTTTTATTTAATCGTTCAATAAAATAAAAAAAAAAGTTTGGGAATGGAATTTAAAATAAAAAAAGCAGTAGAAGTGAATCAATGAAAACCAGCCGTTTCTCTCTCTTCTTTCAAAAATAGAACCCAAAATCTGGGCCAATAAAAAATAAAAAAACTATGCCAGGGGTTAAGTGATAGGTGGTAGAAATAAAAATAAATAATAAATAGTAGAGATGGGAATTGAGAAAGAAAAAATGTTTGAAAAAATTTTTTTGATAAATTTAATGGGATTTTAAAATGATGAATTTTTCATAAAAAATATTTTTCCAAAAATAAATTTTTACATTAAAAATTGACCTTTAAAATAGTTTTTTCAACCCTTCCATGGCATGGGGAATTAATCGAGTTTAGGCATTTAAACGTAAAGTAGGGTATTTGGGGGTGGGGAATTAATTTTTCAACCCAACTCTAGCATGGGGAATTAATTGAGAGGGGGAATTATTCGAGGGAGGGGAATTAATCGAGTAAATACGGTAAATCAAAATTAGTGGCCAAAATTTACAACTACACGACACTTGAGAACTCGAGATTTGAGTATTTTAAAAAGTAAAATGTAGGCAAAATTGCATGAAAGGTCGAAATATGCAAAAAAATTTGCAATAAAAACAGGGTCATAAAATGCTCGTACCAACGTAAAAACATCATTTTGGGCTTCGTACTTAAGGGCATATATCCGTATACAGAACATGCATTTGCACGTTTTGCCCCCAGTAATTGCAACTACATAAAGCGGTTTTGGTTAAAAACGGTGTAAAGATATAAAAAATATGCAGATCTCTTGAATAATAATTTAAATTAAAGCCATAGTTTTTTAAATGCTGGACTTTGCGGATATATTAAATTAAATCTGGACGTTGGTTTTTTAGGAAAAAATAAAGGCGAGAGAATGGACGAGAATTAAAGTGTGAGGATCAATATAAAATACAAACCAGACGATAAAAAAATAAAGAAAACAAAAGAGAAAGAGCGAGAAAAAAAAATAAGCCAGTGAAGCATTTAGTAGTTTTAGTGTAAAATAAAGGTATACATATTTTTTACAATGTAGTAAGAGAGTGTCGGTTGGTAATAAAAATAAATAAATAAAGAGATTTAGGAAAAACTCTGCTTTTCTTTTTATTTAAAGCTACCTAAAACAAAGTGGATATATACACAATTGTTTTTAATTAAAAAAAGGAACATGAAAAAATGAGATTAAAGCATATACCTATCAAGGCTGAATTTTCTTCCGCTTCCGCCACCCGCTTTCCGCCGAATTCCGTCTTTTTTGCCCTTCCGCCTTCCGTCTGCCGCTTTTTTATTTTATTCCGGTTTCTTTCATTTCCGTCTGTCGCTTTTTAAAATTCAAAATTTTCCAGCCCTGATACCTATATATCAAGCAGGGATGTCCCGGGTTTTACGAACCCCAAAGAAAATTTCCTTCGATCCGAAGAAATTTTTATAAAAAAAAACCCTACCCGATTTTTTTCTAAATCTTGTCTAGCCCTGGTATCAGGGTTCTTATCGCCATGTAAAATGTTTTCTTTCGCATTTCGTTTTTTTATTTAATTTTGTATTTCGCTTTTTTTCAACCAGTAAAATCTTGCTATAAGATACACCTCAAAAATCCCTATTATTTTGATATATCTTATTATAAGAGACTATTTTACCCTCAAGGGGGTATCTTAAAGTGATCTTTGCTTGTAATTTATATTACGCTTTTATTTTAAAAATATTTGCATTTAAAAATTATATTTAAAATTAATCACAACAAAATTATTTGGAGGTCGAAAATAATTTTAAAAATGAGGTGTGGGTGTTTATGAATGATTAAGATACATTTTTAAATAAAAAAAATTTTAAAATATGAACCAAAATAAAAATCTTTTAAAGAAATATGTGGTATCAAGAAAGAAAAGATAACAAATAACCAAAAAAGAGATTAGAAAAAAATATTTTTTTAGAAATTTCATTCGAATCCCGATGATACCATTGGTACCAAATTGAGCCAAAAACAAGAATAAGATGTGCTAAAGAATAGACGAGCTATTGAAACTCGATTGTGTATTAAAGAGGTTAAGAACTAAAAGAAAGGGCTTAAGAATAAGAATTAAAATAGCACCCCAAAAAATTTTTTTTGAAAAAGTAATAATTCATTTTGCAGAGGAAATAAAAAAAGTAATTAATTATAAATTATATTTTACTAAATAGGAAATAAATATTTTCGAAGAAAAAAGATTTTTGCAAAAATAAAAAAAGATTAATTGTTGAATATAAATTTAAATATAAGGTCTGACCCTCATTTATAAATGGGTACACCCCGTTATACCGCGAGCCCAGTATACCGCCGAGCTATGACTTTGTTTAAAATGTCTGAATCCGGGACGTCCTGGTATGGTTCGATTCAGCTCGTTGAGGCGCATCGAACCATACCAGGGACTCCCGGATTCGACAATTTTGAACAAAGTTATAGCTTGGCGGTATATACTGGGCTCGCGGTATACTGGCCTGCTCCCTTTTTAAATAGACCTTTTGAATTTGAAACATTTTGTATCTTATTATGAGGTGTACCCATTTTAAATTGGAGGTATTGTTTCCGAGAGGCTTTCTACACTTCAAGGCAACTCAAATTTAAGAAGTATATCTTAAATAGAGGTGTATCTAATATTGGAGATAACATAGTAAAATGAGGTGAATATTGTGGTTTATATCAATATGAGGGTAACGCTTAAGCAACAGGGCTGAAAAAAGTCTGGGACGGGTTCTGGGTCGCGGATTTTCAAAATTTTCTTCAGATCGGGTTTCGGGTTGAGTAAAAAAACCGTCGGGTTGGGTTTCTAGTATAGGATGTATTTAAAAATAAGATCCTCAACTATAATATCTATAAAATTTAAACAACCCGAATATATTTTAAAATAAATATTTTGACATCTAAACAGATTAATGAAAAGAAAATTTTTTTGTTAAAAAAGGAAAAAATAGGATTATTATTTTTAAATAAAAGATTAAAAGTATAAAATAAACGAAAGTTTTCACGCGGTTTAAAAAAATAGTTTTGAATAATAACCGGTTTTTTAAAGAAAAGTACAAAAAAAAGATTTAGAAGAGATTAATTTTTGAGTGTGATTTTTAACTTTTTTTTCACAAATTTTAAGTCATACACTTTTTAAGTTTCCTGAGGTTTGGAACTTACGGCTCCAACTCATTTAAGACCACCCCGTGTTAGCTAAAGTCATCTCGATCCGATAAAACTGAACGTAAAACGGTAACTTTTGATTTGCTTACGAAATTTTAAAAAGTAGCAAATACAAATCTAAAGAGCAGGGATGATTTACCAGGTTCAGCCCAGGAATCTGTCCTGCCGAACTAAAAAAAAGCAGACGAAACTCTGAAGCATAAGGGCAAAAAAAAGATGAATTCTGTGGAAGACGGACGACAATAAACAGCGCTATTATAGACTCTGATAATAAATAAACTAGGAGTTGATAAAAATTTTTAAAAAGGGGACCTTAAACCCTACTAATATTAATTAAAATTATTTAAAAAATGCTTGACATGATATTGAAAAATACACAAATTATCGTTAATATTCACATGTTTTTTGTCTGTTTACTTTTAGGAAAATTAGAAAAAGAGGGAAAAGTCTGATGTAAAAAAGGGATTAATAATAATTATTATTATTAATATTTTTCTCAGAGATACAGACGTTAATTAAAAAAAGTTTAGAAAATACTAGACAAAAACAAATATTTTGAAAAGTTAAAAATTAAAAAATAAAAGTGCAAAATGAGTAAATTTTAGGTTAAAAAATATATAAAAATATAAAATCCCCACCTTTTCAATAGGAACAGGCTTTGCAATTCCAAGACGAACAATTTGGCCAACAGGAGCTGTCTAAAAATATTTTCTAATAAAAATATGGAGGGACTGGACTCATTATAAGTTATCCTATTATTAAATAAACCTATTTAAAAGACGTTGTGTGAGGAAGGATGGGGGAAGTAAAAGGAAAAATAAATAGAAGTCGTTTGGGATGTCAAGTGGAAAAAAGTCAGGGCCTCAGATTTTGAGTAACCCGGCATATCCTGGGGAGGGGCCAGGTTTGTAACACACCGCCACGATTTAAGATAAACTCATTATAAGAGACAATTTTTTCAACTCCATGAGACTATTTTATAGTGAGTTCAGTATGTTTATTACCTTCAACACTTCAACAGCATCCTCTAATGAGCTGTTCGAAAGGTCCTTGTCATTAACGAAAAGAAGTCTATCCCCAGGGACAATTCGTCCATCGGCCTAGAAAAATTAAAAATTACTAAAAAGCAACGAATGAGCCTATAAACTCACTTGTGCTGCTCCTCCTGGAACTAGACTTCTAATAATTAAAACAACTCTTTCTCCAGGGTGTAATGGGTCCTTTAAAATTTAAAAATCTTCATTTTGGTTAAAAATAATTTTTTAAATGCCTGATAATCAGCAATAGAAAATCCAAGCCCTTTAACATCCTTAAGTAAAGGAACAACTAAAGGAACACAATTCCAGACAGCTAAACCAGACAAATTTTCAAGTGAACGTGATTTAAATTGAGGACGGCGAATAAATGCCTAATTAAATGATAATATTTTTTTGGAAAAATTTTAAAAAAAATTTTTAATTTTACCGAGGATCTACGTGGAGTTGAAGTGAATTTTCCATTTAATTTTCCATTAAGATTACAAAGGCCAATTTCTGATTTTGCCTAAAATATAGTAATTATAGTAAAGCTCTCAATAACATTTCCCCTCATAATTCGAACTAATTCGACCCCGAGGTATGTGTTTGCCTGATTTGACTTTTGCAACTCTCCTTCTGCAAAATTCGACCCGAGGAGTGACGATATATAGAGATTACAATTTTTAGTCTAATCTCTCTCGTACGGCACTTATCGGGAAAACTGACATTAAAGGAGAGTGCCGATAAATGAGACTAAACTATGTATCAGGGAACGCGCCGAATGAAAATCAAATTCCCGATTTTCGGGAATCGTGAATTCACGAAAATTTCGAATTCACAATTTTCGTGAATCGGGAATTCACGACCCAAAAATCGTCGGGAATTCACGATTTTCGGGAATCGTGAATCGGGTCGGCGCGATCACTGCTATGTATATTCAAACAAAATACCTACTTTAATAAAATGTTCTTCACCAGCCATCATTGAAGCTAATAAAGGGTAGGCTATAGGAAGGCACTGTTCTGGTGATGGTATCACAAAATTAATAAAATCTAAAAAATTATTTTTATTAACAGGCAGAATTTGATTTTAAAACAAAAACTTGCAGATCCCGACCCTATAGCCAAACAAAATTTAAAAGATCATCTAACAGATATCACACATTGGGGGAAAGTGGTACTTCTCTATACAAATACCCCCCCCCCCCGCCCCCTTCGGTACAAGAAGGTGTCCTTATAGAGAATTTCCAATGTATTAAAATAACTGGCAGACTGAAAATTTATTAAATTTAAATATATTTATTTACCTAATTCAGTTTTTCTACAAAATATTAGCCGAATAAAAGGAGAATTTTCTCGTCTTTCACGATTTAATACTTTACGCATTTTTATAAAAGATTCCCCATAAAGTGATATGTCGTTGACCTATTTTTTAAAATTTTTTAAATAAATAAAAAAAATTTTTTACTTGTAAAAGCTCATCCCCAGCCTTTAAAATGCCCGTTTTCTCTGCTGGACCATTTCTACGAAGACTTGAAATAAAATGATGAGAACATAACTGATTTCCTTGATATTTTAAATTTTTTATTTTAAACTGAATCTATCTTCTAGCTTGAGTGCAATGAATCCCGCGATATCCCACCACCATTATATCACCCAAAATCCCTCCAAATCGCTTACTATCCCAGAAATCCGTCCTAATCCCCTCATCTCTGTAAATCCCTTTATATCTCCAGATAATCACTCCAAATCCCCCCAAATCCTTCCAAATCTGTTGAACTACGCATAGAGAATACTTCTGATTCCTTTACTTTAAAGCACGGCTTAATCTCCTTTTTGGATCTAAAGATCTTAGACATCCATTGGATTCATAATATTTTCAGCCGACTTTATGAGTCCTATAATGGACTGATAAACTCTAACAGAGCCCAAATAAATTTCATAAACCCCTACCATTGCAAACATCAACAGTTCCTTGCCATTCAATACCAATTCCTCCATCTATTTCAATTTTATCATCCGGTTTTAAATCAACCACAATAATATCATATTCTGAACCAAATTTATTTGACCAAAAACTCTGAAAAAAATTTTTAATTGATTTTTTGTTCTTTATCCTTAATGCTCTTAAAAGTCCACACGTTTTATCCGCAACAATTTTTATTAGAATTTTGGACTTTCAGGGATTAAAAAAGAAAAGAATCCAAATATTAAAAAAATTCTTCCTTTACTTTATAATCAACAAGAGAATGTTTTTTATGATGTTCACAAAGTGCTTCTGGAAGGGGTGAAGCAGTTCTTCCAACACGTCCAGTTGCAGTACTTGAAGAAGCGGCTGATTCGGAATGTACTGAAGCAGCGACAGCTAATTCCTTTAACAATAAAATTTAAATAAGGATATTTTTCAAAAATTTTTTCAAAGAATTATCAAAATTTTTATTCACTCAAAGTCCACCTGTTCATGAAGCATTTTTAGGCACTTTGCTTGGGGTGTTTCTGCATCAAACCTTACAAGTTTCATTACAACATTATTTCCACTGTTAATTAATGCTCTAACTGAATCATTCTTTAAGTTTAAAAAATTCTTTCAAATTTTTTTTTGAAAATTTTACATGACTCAATCCTTCCAAGCTTCTTCCATTAACTTCTACAATAAGATCATGCAATTGAATTTGTTTTGAAAGATGAGCTGATGATTGAGGTACTAATGATTTGATGAAAACGCCGCTTATTTCTTCTGAAAGTAAAAAATTTTTTAGTGATACCCAGGGGGAGATTTCCACAGTATTAATCCAGGGACGTGCCAAACAAATTTAAAAAGCGAAAGACGAAATGCGAAATACAAAAATGCGAAACTAATTTAAAAGACAAAAGACGAAGCATAAAAAAACGAAATTCGCGAAAGACGAAAGTAAAATTGGCACACTCCTGAATGATACCTATTTTATTTTTTGTATTTATTAAATAAATTTTATTGGGCATTTTATACATAACTTTAAAAAAAACAGAAAATTTTGATTGCTGTAAAAGGAAATGATTTTTATAAAATTCCTAAAAAAATAATTTTTCCTTTTAGCCAATATTTAGGAAAAAGAAGAAGCTTGTTATGGCATAGTTTATAGTGTTTGGTGTAAAAAATAAAAAAAATAAAAAGAAGAAACTAGAAAAAATAGATAAAAAGCAGAAGAATATATAAAATTAACAAAGAAGAAAATTGTTTTTTTTTTGCAAAAAAAAGTTGTAGTAAATGTTATTTAAAAGATAGAGGAAGAAAATAAAAGTGATGTGCCAAAAAATTATTTTACTAAAAAATATAAAAGTTTCGCAGGTTTAAAGATTTTTAGTTAAAGACGAAAGGGAAAATAAAGCGAAACACGAAATTAATTTTGAAAAGCGAAAGCCGGCTTGAATAGGTTTACTTTGACCATTTTGAGCTTGCGAATATTGGAGTGTGTAGTTAAATTAAATGAGTTTTTAATTATAATTCACCTTTTTTATAAACATAACCAGCCACAGTTATTCCAAGTCCAATTTTTGAATCCCTATTTAATTCTACATTAATTATTTTATATTTTCCATTAATCCATTTATCACGACAAAATGATGTTAATGCCTACATACAAGGGAAAAATTCAAATAAACTTTCAAAAAAAATTTTTATTTTTATTATAGTACCATTTCTTGTAGTTGTCTTAGAGAACGCCTTTCGGAAGAAGACGAACATGATGGATTATCGTTTGATTGACCCTAAAAATTTAAAAGAAAATTTTTTAGAGGGACATAGAAATAAAAAGAAGTCTTAAAATTATGTAAGATCTATCCGCAAGAAAAAAAAGTCCACAAGTTCTGCCCGAAGAAGGATATTTAAGAATGTAGGATATTTAAGAATTTCGGGACCTATACGGCAATTGGATTTTGTTGTGTGTGTGACCAAAAAAACACCGAATTCGAATTTTTCTACCACAAAGGAGTGTCCATCCCTATGTTAAATACTTGATAAAATATATTAAAAACCAAACCCGACTGGAACGAAATTTTTTTCTTTTTCCATTTTTTCTTTCAGAATCTAATAAAAGTTTTTCTGCTGCTGTCCTTTTTGTTTTGGATGACGAATTTGTACTACCAACTTCAGCTACAATATCAATTGAAGAAGTACTTTGTTTATTTAAATCTTAAAAATTTAGAAATTTTTAAAGGTACTCTTGTGTTATATGCCACATTTTTAAGTCCCGATTTACTATTTCTTTCCTTTTCTTTGTTCTTTTTTCTATTTTCTCTTTAAGATTACTAAATGGTTTTACTAATTGTAAAAGCTTTTCCGGAATTTAATAAAAGATTTTACAAATTGTAAATTCCGGAAAAGGTTTTACAATTTGTAAAATATTTTATTTTATTCCGGAAAGGTTTTTACAATTTGTAAAATATTTTATTAAATTCCGGATTATTATTAAATTTCCGGAAAAGTTTTTACAATTTGTAAAATATTCTTATTGAATTCCGGAAAGGTTTTACAATTTGTAAAATATTTTATTACATTACGGAAATGTTTTTACAATTTGTAAAATATTTTTTTGTATTCCGGAAAAGGTTTTACAATTTGTAAAATATTTTATTTAATCCCGGAAAAGTTTTTACAATTTGTAAAATATTTTATTAAATTCCGGAAAAGGCTTTACAATTTGTAAAATATTTTACTAAATTCCGGAAAAGGTTTTACAATTTGTAAAATATTTTACTAAATTCCGGAAAAGGTTTTACAATTTGTAAAATATTTTACTAAATTCCGGAAAAGGTTTTACAATTTGTAAAATATTTTACTAAATTCCGGAAAAGGTTTTACAATTTGTAAAATATTTTACTAAATTCCGGAAAAGGTTTTACAATTTGTAAAATATTTTATTTTATTCCGGAAAGGTTTTTACAATTTGTAAAATATTTTATTAAATTCCGGATTATTATTAAATTTCCGGAAAAGTTTTTACAATTTGTAAAATATTCTTATTGAATTCCGGAAATGTTTTTACAATTTGTAAAATATTTTATTACATTACGGAAATGTTTTTACAATTTGTAAAATATTTTTTTGTATTCCGGAAAAGGTTTTACAATTTGTAAAATATTTTATTAAATTCCGGAAAAGGCTTTACAATTTGTAAAATATTTTTTTTAATTCCGGAAAAGGTTTTACAATTTGTAAAATATTTTACTAAATTCCGGAAAAGGTTTTACAATTTGTAAAAAATATTTTTTTAATTCCGGAAAAGGTTTTACAATTTGTAAAATATTTTACTAAATTCCGGAAAAGGTTTTACAATTTGTAAAATATTTTACTAAATTCCGGAAAAGGTTTTACAATTTGTAAAAAATATTTTTTTAATTCCGGAAAAGGTTTTACAATTTGTAAAATATTTTACTAAATTCCGGAAAAAATTTTACAATTTGTAAAATATTTAATTAAATTCCGGAAAAAGTTTTACAATTTGTAAATTATTTTTATTAAATTCCGGAAAAGGTTTTACAATTTGTAAAAAATTTTTTTAATTCCGGAAAAGGGTTTTACAATTTTTAAAATATTTTATTAAATTCCGGAAAAGGTTTTACAATTTGTAAAATATTTTTTTTAATTCCGGAAAAGGTTTTACAATTTGTAAAAATATTTTATTAAATTCCTGTAAATGTTTTGCAATTTGTAAAATATTTTATTAAATTCCGGAAAAGGTTTTACAATTTGTAAAAAATATTTTTTTAATTCCGGAAAAGGTTTTACAATTTGTAAAATATTTTACTAAATTCCGGAAAAGGTTTTACAATTTGTAAAATATTTTACTAAATTCCGGAAAAGGTTTTACAATTTGTAAAAAATATTTTTTTAATTCCGGAAAAGGTTTTACAATTTGTAAAATATTTTACTAAATTCCGGAAAAAATTTTACAATTTGTAAAATATTTAATTAAATTCCGGAAAAAGTTTTACAATTTGTAAATTATTTTTATTAAATTCCGGAAAAGGTTTTACAATTTGTAAAAAATTTTACTAAATTCCGGAAAAAATTTTACAATTTGTAAAATATTTAATTAAATTCCGGAAAAAGTTTTACAATTTGTAAAATATTTTATTAAATTCCGGAAAAGGCTTTACAATTTGTAAAATATTTTTTTTAATTCCGGAAAAGGTTTTACAATTTGTAAAATATTTTACTAAATTCCGGAAAAGGTTTTACAATTTGTAAAAAATATTTTTTTAATTCCGGAAAAGGTTTTACAATTTGTAAAATATTTTACTAAATTCCGGAAAAGGTTTTACAATTTGTAAAATATTTTACTAAATTCCGGAAAAGGTTTTACAATTTGTAAAAAATATTTTTTTAATTCCGGAAAAGGTTTTACAATTTGTAAAATATTTTACTAAATTCCGGAAAAAATTTTACAATTTGTAAAATATTTAATTAAATTCCGGAAAAAGTTTTACAATTTGTAAATTATTTTTATTAAATTCCGGAAAAGGTTTTACAATTTGTAAAAAATTTTTTTAATTCCGGAAAAGGGTTTTACAATTTTTAAAATATTTTATTAAATTCCGGAAAAGGTTTTACAATTTGTAAAATATTTTTTTTAATTCCGGAAAAGGTTTTACAATTTGTAAAAATATTTTATTAAATTCCTGTAAATGTTTTGCAATTTGTAAAATATTTTATTAAATTCCGGAAAAGGTTTTACAATTTGTAAAATAGTAAAACTCTCTCTCTCTTAACTCTCAACCCCCATTAACAATAAAAAATCCAAACACCTTTCAAAACAGTTTCAGGTCCAAGCCTATTAATTAATTGATCTGGAAATTCAGTCCCTTCATTTAAAGTTGCTGGAGTTGTTTTTGAATGATTAATTCCATTACATCTGCTTGTACTAGGCTTTGACTTTAAAAATTTTTTTATTTTTTTAAATTTAAAAATTACAGCCATCAACTCTAAACGACGTTGAACTTCCTCGTCTAATGTAGTTGCTGAAAGTGCCGCTCTTGTTGCCATTGTCCAACACACTAATGAAATAAATACATTTAAAAATTACAGGCAAAGCCTTAATAGAAGACACACATTCGAAGATGAAAAATTTGTCGCTTATAATGAGGTGTATTAAAAATAGAAGGTCCCTTATAATGAGTGTATGCTAAATAGGTGGTATAGCTTAAATGGCTCTCCCATTCAGAGATAATAATTTTGCTTAATTAGACAATTCGCAATAGTTATTTGAAAAATAAAAATATACACTATGATTAATTTATAAGCTAAAAATAAAAACTTAAGAGCTGTGAATATTTATTGAATTTTCTGTTCTATATAAGAGAAAATTCACACGCTGGTTTTTTTACCAACTGACGCAATTAAATTTTTTTTTGATTAAAAATTTCACTTCCATTTTAGTAAAAAAATTTAAAAAAAAATTTTTTTTACTTGGGGTATCTGTTGTTTCTGTATCCTGCAATTGAATGGAATGTGCAACAGTCATTTGGACATAAGGGCCGTCTTGTTGTCGAAGTAAGGCAGCAATTTGTTGACTAAATTTTTTATCTTAATTAAGGCCTTAGGGTATTTTGTATTTAGGTTTTGAATGAATTTCTAAAGTTTGCAGTTTTATAACCCAAATTTGGTTAAAATTTTGAGTTAGTTACACGTCAAAATACAAACTGAGGAAAGAGAATGTCCGCAAAAAATATTTGCGGACAAAAAATAATATTTTATTTTAAAGCACCTATTAAGTCCTTGCGTTGAAATGTGACCAATTTGAAGAATTCTATCACCAGGTCTTAACCTCTGATCCTAAAAATGATTTGCAGTACTTGAAGAAGCGGCTGATTCGGAATGTACTGAAGCAGCGACAGCTAATTCCTTTAACAATAAAATTTAAATAAGGATATTTTTCAAAAATTTTTTCAAAGAATTATCAAAATTTTTATTCACTCAAAGTCCACCTGTTCATGAAGCATTTTTAGGCACTTTGCTTGGGGTGTTTCTGCATCAAACCTTACAAGTTTCATTACAACATTATTTCCACTGTTAATTAATGCTCTAACTGAATCATTCTTTAAGTTTAAAAAATTCTTTCAAATTTTTTTTTGAAAATTTTACATGACTCAATCCTTCCAAGCTTCTTCCATTAACTTCTACAATAAGATCATGCAATTGAATTTGTTTTGAAAGATGAGCTGATGATTGAGGTACTAATGATTTGATGAAAACGCCGCTTATTTCTTCTGAAAGTAAAAAATTTTTTAGTGATACCCAGGGGGAGATTTCCACAGTATTAATCCAGGGACGTGCCAAACAAATTTAAAAAGCGAAAGACGAAATGCGAAATACAAAAATGCGAAACTAATTTAAAAGACAAAAGACGAAGCATAAAAAAACGAAATTCGCGAAAGACGAAAGTAAAATTGGCACACTCCTGAATGATACCTATTTTATTTTTTGTATTTATTAAATAAATTTTATTGGGCATTTTATACATAACTTTAAAAAAAACAGAAAATTTTGATTGCTGTAAAAGGAAATGATTTTTATAAAATTCCTAAAAAAATAATTTTTCCTTTTAGCCAATATTTAGGAAAAAGAAGAAGCTTGTTATGGCATAGTTTATAGTGTTTGGTGTAAAAAATAAAAAAAATAAAAAGAAGAAACTAGAAAAAATAGATAAAAAGCAGAAGAATATATAAAATTAACAAAGAAGAAAATTGTTTTTTTTTTGCAAAAAAAAGTTGTAGTAAATGTTATTTAAAAGATAGAGGAAGAAAATAAAAGTGATGTGCCAAAAAATTATTTTACTAAAAAATATAAAAGTTTCGCAGGTTTAAAGATTTTTAGTTAAAGACGAAAGGGAAAATAAAGCGAAACACGAAATTAATTTTGAAAAGCGAAAGCCGGCTTGAATAGGTTTACTTTGACCATTTTGAGCTTGCGAATATTGGAGTGTGTAGTTAAATTAAATGAGTTTTTAATTATAATTCACCTTTTTTATAAACATAACCAGCCACAGTTATTCCAAGTCCAATTTTTGAATCCCTATTTAATTCTACATTAATTATTTTATATTTTCCATTAATCCATTTATCACGACAAAATGATGTTAATGCCTACATACAAGGGAAAAATTCAAATAAACTTTCAAAAAAAATTTTTATTTTTATTATAGTACCATTTCTTGTAGTTGTCTTAGAGAACGCCTTTCGGAAGAAGACGAACATGATGGATTATCGTTTGATTGACCCTAAAAATTTAAAAGAAAATTTTTTAGAGGGACATAGAAATAAAAAGAAGTCTTAAAATTATGTAAGATCTATCCGCAAGAAAAAAAAGTCCACAAGTTCTGCCCGAAGAAGGATATTTAAGAATGTAGGATATTTAAGAATTTCGGGACCTATACGGCAATTGGATTTTGTTGTGTGTGTGACCAAAAAAACACCGAATTCGAATTTTTCTACCACAAAGGAGTGTCCATCCCTATGTTAAATACTTGATAAAATATATTAAAAACCAAACCCGACTGGAACGAAATTTTTTTCTTTTTCCATTTTTTCTTTCAGAATCTAATAAAAGTTTTTCTGCTGCTGTCCTTTTTGTTTTGGATGACGAATTTGTACTACCAACTTCAGCTACAATATCAATTGAAGAAGTACTTTGTTTATTTAAATCTTAAAAATTTAGAAATTTTTAAAGGTACTCTTGTGTTATATGCCACATTTTTAAGTCCCGATTTACTATTTCTTTCCTTTTCTTTGTTCTTTTTTCTATTTTCTCTTTAAGATTACTAAATGGTTTTACTAATTGTAAAAGCTTTTCCGGAATTTAATAAAAGATTTTACAAATTGTAAATTCCGGAAAAGGTTTTACAATTTGTAAAATATTTTATTTTATTCCGGAAAGGTTTTTACAATTTGTAAAATATTTTATTAAATTCCGGATTATTATTAAATTTCCGGAAAAGTTTTTACAATTTGTAAAATATTCTTATTGAATTCCGGAAAGGTTTTACAATTTGTAAAATATTTTATTACATTACGGAAATGTTTTTACAATTTGTAAAATATTTTTTTGTATTCCGGAAAAGGTTTTACAATTTGTAAAATATTTTATTTAATCCCGGAAAAGTTTTTACAATTTGTAAAATATTTTATTAAATTCCGGAAAAGGCTTTACAATTTGTAAAATATTTTACTAAATTCCGGAAAAGGTTTTACAATTTGTAAAATATTTTACTAAATTCCGGAAAAGGTTTTACAATTTGTAAAATATTTTACTAAATTCCGGAAAAGGTTTTACAATTTGTAAAATATTTTACTAAATTCCGGAAAAGGTTTTACAATTTGTAAAATATTTTACTAAATTCCGGAAAAGGTTTTACAATTTGTAAAATATTTTATTTTATTCCGGAAAGGTTTTTACAATTTGTAAAATATTTTATTAAATTCCGGATTATTATTAAATTTCCGGAAAAGTTTTTACAATTTGTAAAATATTCTTATTGAATTCCGGAAATGTTTTTACAATTTGTAAAATATTTTATTACATTACGGAAATGTTTTTACAATTTGTAAAATATTTTTTTGTATTCCGGAAAAGGTTTTACAATTTGTAAAATATTTTATTAAATTCCGGAAAAGGCTTTACAATTTGTAAAATATTTTTTTTAATTCCGGAAAAGGTTTTACAATTTGTAAAATATTTTACTAAATTCCGGAAAAGGTTTTACAATTTGTAAAAAATATTTTTTTAATTCCGGAAAAGGTTTTACAATTTGTAAAATATTTTACTAAATTCCGGAAAAGGTTTTACAATTTGTAAAATATTTTACTAAATTCCGGAAAAGGTTTTACAATTTGTAAAAAATATTTTTTTAATTCCGGAAAAGGTTTTACAATTTGTAAAATATTTTACTAAATTCCGGAAAAAATTTTACAATTTGTAAAATATTTAATTAAATTCCGGAAAAAGTTTTACAATTTGTAAATTATTTTTATTAAATTCCGGAAAAGGTTTTACAATTTGTAAAAAATTTTTTTAATTCCGGAAAAGGGTTTTACAATTTTTAAAATATTTTATTAAATTCCGGAAAAGGTTTTACAATTTGTAAAATATTTTTTTTAATTCCGGAAAAGGTTTTACAATTTGTAAAAATATTTTATTAAATTCCTGTAAATGTTTTGCAATTTGTAAAATATTTTATTAAATTCCGGAAAAGGTTTTACAATTTGTAAAAAATATTTTTTTAATTCCGGAAAAGGTTTTACAATTTGTAAAATATTTTACTAAATTCCGGAAAAGGTTTTACAATTTGTAAAATATTTTACTAAATTCCGGAAAAGGTTTTACAATTTGTAAAAAATATTTTTTTAATTCCGGAAAAGGTTTTACAATTTGTAAAATATTTTACTAAATTCCGGAAAAAATTTTACAATTTGTAAAATATTTAATTAAATTCCGGAAAAAGTTTTACAATTTGTAAATTATTTTTATTAAATTCCGGAAAAGGTTTTACAATTTGTAAAAAATTTTACTAAATTCCGGAAAAAATTTTACAATTTGTAAAATATTTAATTAAATTCCGGAAAAAGTTTTACAATTTGTAAAATATTTTATTAAATTCCGGAAAAGGCTTTACAATTTGTAAAATATTTTTTTTAATTCCGGAAAAGGTTTTACAATTTGTAAAATATTTTACTAAATTCCGGAAAAGGTTTTACAATTTGTAAAAAATATTTTTTTAATTCCGGAAAAGGTTTTACAATTTGTAAAATATTTTACTAAATTCCGGAAAAGGTTTTACAATTTGTAAAATATTTTACTAAATTCCGGAAAAGGTTTTACAATTTGTAAAAAATATTTTTTTAATTCCGGAAAAGGTTTTACAATTTGTAAAATATTTTACTAAATTCCGGAAAAAATTTTACAATTTGTAAAATATTTAATTAAATTCCGGAAAAAGTTTTACAATTTGTAAATTATTTTTATTAAATTCCGGAAAAGGTTTTACAATTTGTAAAAAATTTTTTTAATTCCGGAAAAGGGTTTTACAATTTTTAAAATATTTTATTAAATTCCGGAAAAGGTTTTACAATTTGTAAAATATTTTTTTTAATTCCGGAAAAGGTTTTACAATTTGTAAAAATATTTTATTAAATTCCTGTAAATGTTTTGCAATTTGTAAAATATTTTATTAAATTCCGGAAAAGGTTTTACAATTTGTAAAATAGTAAAACTCTCTCTCTCTTAACTCTCAACCCCCATTAACAATAAAAAATCCAAACACCTTTCAAAACAGTTTCAGGTCCAAGCCTATTAATTAATTGATCTGGAAATTCAGTCCCTTCATTTAAAGTTGCTGGAGTTGTTTTTGAATGATTAATTCCATTACATCTGCTTGTACTAGGCTTTGACTTTAAAAATTTTTTTATTTTTTTAAATTTAAAAATTACAGCCATCAACTCTAAACGACGTTGAACTTCCTCGTCTAATGTAGTTGCTGAAAGTGCCGCTCTTGTTGCCATTGTCCAACACACTAATGAAATAAATACATTTAAAAATTACAGGCAAAGCCTTAATAGAAGACACACATTCGAAGATGAAAAATTTGTCGCTTATAATGAGGTGTATTAAAAATAGAAGGTCCCTTATAATGAGTGTATGCTAAATAGGTGGTATAGCTTAAATGGCTCTCCCATTCAGAGATAATAATTTTGCTTAATTAGACAATTCGCAATAGTTATTTGAAAAATAAAAATATACACTATGATTAATTTATAAGCTAAAAATAAAAACTTAAGAGCTGTGAATATTTATTGAATTTTCTGTTCTATATAAGAGAAAATTCACACGCTGGTTTTTTTACCAACTGACGCAATTAAATTTTTTTTTGATTAAAAATTTCACTTCCATTTTAGTAAAAAAATTTAAAAAAAAATTTTTTTTACTTGGGGTATCTGTTGTTTCTGTATCCTGCAATTGAATGGAATGTGCAACAGTCATTTGGACATAAGGGCCGTCTTGTTGTCGAAGTAAGGCAGCAATTTGTTGACTAAATTTTTTATCTTAATTAAGGCCTTAGGGTATTTTGTATTTAGGTTTTGAATGAATTTCTAAAGTTTGCAGTTTTATAACCCAAATTTGGTTAAAATTTTGAGTTAGTTACACGTCAAAATACAAACTGAGGAAAGAGAATGTCCGCAAAAAATATTTGCGGACAAAAAATAATATTTTATTTTAAAGCACCTATTAAGTCCTTGCGTTGAAATGTGACCAATTTGAAGAATTCTATCACCAGGTCTTAACCTCTGATCCTAAAAATGATTAAGAAAATTTTATTTAAATTTAACAGTTTTAACTTTATCTGCCACACTTCCAGCAACTATAGACTTAATTACAACGCCAGTACTGTGTCCACCAACTATGCCAAACCCCAATCCTTCCGGCTCGTTTGGAAGATGTAAAATTTGGACTTGAACCCATTCACCAGTTAACTAAAAAATTTAAACATGAGGCACTTAAAGGTCCACCTTTTTTCGACTAATTTTTGTGAATTTTTCCTCCAATCTGAGAAAATAAAAGAAATGTCCGAAAAGTCCGCAAAAAAGTCCGCTAAGTATTTTTGCAGATTTTTTTTCAAAATATCCTTAAAAATAATCCGCAAAAAAGCGGATACCTCACATGTCATCAAGTGCCAATACTTATTATTTAAATAACAATTAAAAAAATTTTTGGAGGGATTTTATTAATTTTAGAAGAAAATAAAGAGAATAAGAGAAAAGATTTTGAAGAAAAATTTCAGAAAATTTAAAAAATTTAAAAAGCGCCGCCGCGCCATGCTGCATGCCTTAACAATTTTTTCAATTTCATTTTGCTTGCGTACAACGCGTTTACACATCCAAACACGATCTTGTTCACATCCTTGTTCGAATAAAGCAAGTCGAGTTCCAACAGTTTCACAGCTATTGCTTAACTAAAAATTTTATTATTTGGTTATTCTCCTATAAGCTTCTCTTCTATAAAACTTGATAATTTTTAAAGAACCCCCTCCCTCTCCCACTCCTCCCAATCATTTTATCAAAACTACCTTCTTTCCACAATTAATAATATCACAGTTAATATTATTGCTAAATTTTCTCTTTTTATTTCTAAGTGACCAAAAACGCCTTTTAATGTTTAATTTTTCGTCATTTGCTTCAGTAAATTCATTTTTTTCAATTTTTTCTACAACTTTTGTTGCTCGTGCCTTCTCTTTATGTCTAAAATTAGATCTTTAATAAAAGCCTACAAACATAACTGCTAGATATCACCTATTATTGCCATAAATAATTCCATTTCCACTTCCAGTACTTGCATTTGAATGTCTTTTTGTTAGATCAAAATATTTTCTTTCAAAAAATACTTTTTGATTAATTAAAGAATTGTTGGTTTTTAAATCATTTTTTCTTTTTAAAAAATTATTTTCTTCTTTTTCTTCATTTTTAGAATTTGATAATCGTCGATTTTTTAATAAACTTTTAGAAGGTAAACGTTCACTAGACCATTTTCTCCTTTGATATTTCCCTTGGTTTTCGTTGTTGTCGAATTTTTCTTTTCGAAGATTACAAATATCCGGACTATCCACAAATAAAACGTGAAGTTTTCTACCATTACCATACTGATGTCTGAGAACGCTTGTCATTTTTTGTTGTAATTGAAAAGCAAAATCTGTAACATTTTTTGATTCTTCTCCATCCTCTTCTTTTGAATCATTTTCTTTTAAACTTTCAACTATTTCTTCCCCATTTTTAATTTTTTTAATGTCAATTCCTATAAAAAAATTTTTATTTAAATATTTATAAAATATAAAAATTGTTTTCCACTAAAGGATTCGAACCTTTGACCCTTAGGTTACTAAACCAAAAATTTTCCCACTACACCAAAGTAACAATTTTTCAGAATAGTGGAGGTTGTCAGATCGACTATGATTAGATCACCAACAAAAATTGCTTTTGACGATGTAAATATTTTTCGAGATATCTATCAATCTCAGATCTCGATCAGTCCATCTGTCCAATCTGGGTTTGGGAGCCGAGAGAAGGGGAGGGGGTGATTAGGTAGGGATGGTTATATGGTTACTTGTTCGTCCAGAAATGTCCGTCTCGATATGTCTGGCTTCCGGTCAAGTTTCTGTTTACCTTTTTCTATTTTCTGTTCTTCGTCAATGTTTTCTCGTTCATTCTTAATTAAATAATTCCTTCCATCCCCACAATTTCCATTTAATTTTAAATTGAGACTGTTTGGCCTAACAATTCTTTTTCCTTCTTCTTCAGATTTAATTTTAGAAAAATGTACAGATCCTCCACGTTGTCGAACTCGACGAAAACTTCGTCTCAACGCTTTTGGGGATTCTGTAAAGCGACGATTTTCAACTGAACGTTGTTTTTGGGGAGTTTTTTCTATGTTGTTTTGTTCGTTATTTGTTCGCATTCTAAGCCAAACTTCTTCAGAAAAGGAGGAAGAGGAGGAAGATGTGGACAATTTTCTAAATAAATTTTTTGAAATTTTTTTCCAAATTTATTACCTTAAACGCCCTTTATTTGCCATTAAATTCAATGGAAATCGCATAAAACGCTTTGTAGTCTCCCAAGGGTGTTTTTGCTTAGTTGGAGGATGTTCGTTAATTACCCCATGTTGTTTTTGAGCAATAAGGAAGAGGGAAGAATGGAGAAAGTTTGAAGTATTGTTGTCATAAATTTGTTGATTTTGGGAGGATTTTTTCTTTTTATTATTTACAGTAAAGTTGTTGACCATCCAATTGAGTAAACGCATTTTTGGTAAAAAATATGTCCAAAATATGCCAAAAAATAGGATAGTAATGCCAAAATATTAAATTATCGGACCTTACTTCTCGAGTATACAGGTTGGGTGGATGGGGCTAACTAGGATGTATGACTAAAATATGAGTACTAGGCACCGAGGGTGTCCAGTTATGAATCAGTTGTATTGCCAAAATTACGCCAAGCCTCAATATAAGAACCGTTACTTTTGAAACTAAAGAATCTTATCTTATACTAAGGTTACCTTAAATAGCGAGTATGTAGTCGTTTTTGCCCGAAATTTTTTTTGTCCGCATGTTTTTTCCGCAAATTTTTCACGCCCCAGTATCTAGCTTCTTAAATTGAGGTATCTATAAGGTCTTATTGTAGAGTCGAACCTCCCAATAAGATACCTCCATTACTACGGATCTCACTATAAGGTAGCTCCCCTTGAGCTGAAAAATCATACCTTATAATTTGGTATATCCTAAATTAAGGCGTACTTAGGATGTATCTTATGAGGTCCGACTTTAACGCCAAAAAATATAATGGCAAAAAATTCCAATTCGATGATAGCTCTAGCACCCTCAAAATATTTTTAAAAAATTTAACGAATCCATCAACAAGAGTTATAAAATCTCTAGGGAATTTAAAGAGCGCAGATGGGTAAGAGAAAAAGTTTTGATGAAAGAATAAATAAAGCTTTAAAAGATACATTGGGAAGAGAAAAATTAGAGAAAATATATTTTTTATTTTTTAAATTTAAGGAAAAAAAATAAATAAAAATAAGGAAAAAAAATTATTTTCGAATTATGAAGGAGGAAATAAAATTGAAAAAAAAATAAATTTTGTAAACAAAAAAAAATGATGAAAAATAAGATGTTGGTATTTTAATTAAAAAATAAATATTTATTTATTTTGTATGTTGAGTTAATTGTAAATAAAAAAATATTGGCACTTGTTTAAGGGGAAGGTGACCGATTTGCGGACTTTTCCCCTTATTTCTCTCCCTTGGCGTGCCCTTGAAAAATTGTACATATTATTAACCGATAAAATCAGAAAACGCGGCCGGAATTCCAGGAAAAATCCAGGAGAAATAAGAGGAATCCTCAGAAAAAGTCCGCAAGTTTTCTGCGGATTTTCAAAAAAAGTCCGCAAGTTTTCTGCGGATTTTCAAAAAATGTCCGCAAGTTTTTTGCGGACTTTCAAAAAAAGTCCGCAAGTTTTTTGCGGACTTTCAAAAAAAGTCCGCAAGTTTTCTGCGGACTTTTTCTGCGGATTTTTCTGCTAGGAAGAAAGGTCCGCTTATTTTTGCGGCCTTTCTTTTAAGTTAAAAATATGAGGAAAAATCCGCAAGTTATTTGCGGACTTTTTTTTTCTGTCCGCAAGTTTTCTGCGGACTGTCCGCAAGTTACTTGCGGATTTTTTCTGAATAAAAACTCAACCCACCGCCATTAATTTTGTCGATTGTCTAAGCAAACCAAGTACAAGAAAAGGAACCTCTTTTGATTGTCTTGTCTTAATAAAATAATTTTTTTGAAAAAATTTCAAAAACACCTTTAGATATTCCTCCACAAATTCACGAACTTGATCTAGACTTTGAGGGAAATGATGGAAATTTTCATTTAGAATTGTTGAATGAGCAAAAGAATTTAATTGAGCAAGTTCTTTGACGTTGTTAGGCTCATCTTTTTTTAATTTTTGAGAAATAAATTTTAAAATTTTTATAGGGACATTAGAATATTCAGGTATATTTCAATTATGCCGGCACGGAAAAAGGTCCGCAAAAAAATCAACAAATTAAAAAAGTCCGCAATTAAGAGTCCGCAAATTTAGAAAAAGTCCGCAAATTAAAAGCCGTAAATTAAATCGTCCGCTAAATTGTAGAACTCTACAAAATTAAAAAATAGTCCGCAACGTTAAACAGTAAGACAAAGATGCCAAGCAGATCGGCACTACGTCAGCAAATTTAGGCCCGAGGGGTAATTAATAGAGAGATTCCACTATATTCTAACAAGTGATCGAACCGTACCGACTACGACCCTATTTTCCGGTATTTATCGGTATTCCGTATCGGTAGTACGGTACGGACCATACAAAATTCCTATCACTATATTCTAAGTTGCAGATAAAAAGTTGCGGATATCACCGGCATAAGTTAAAATAGCACAAATTTGATTTTTCTATCAATAAATTGTTAATAAACTACCTCCAATTCTTTTTGTATTTAAAATTTTTTTATTGTTGTCTTTTATTTCCTTTTTGTAATTTAATGGTAAAGAAGTATCAACAATAATTTCTTTTTGATTGTTATCAGAAAATAAATTGTCTATGAGCAAAGTATCAATAGAAAGAATTCTATCGGCGATATGAACTGAGCCAAATGTTCTAAAAATTTAATTTTTTGAGGGGAGAAAATTTGGATTTTTTGAAATTTTTGGAGAAAATAAAAATGAGATTTGCGGACAAAAGTTGCGGATAAAAGTTGCGGACTTGGGATTTGGCTTTTTCTATGAGAAGGGAGAGGGGGTTATTTTAAAAACATCCCGAAACTGAAAAAATAGAGGACAGTCGGAAAGTTGTCCGAATCAAAAATCAGCAAAATTTTGAAAGTCGGTAATGCCAAACGATAAAATGCCAATAGAAAAATGTTAATAACCTCCTTATAAGAACCCCCAATACACCTCGATTAAAAAAATTCTTTTTTTCATCAAATATTTTTCATGGGGATGGGAGCGCTGTCTAAGCGATTACCCTCTATTTAAGAGACGACTCACTATAATATACACTCATAAAGATACACCCCATTATAAGGTACCCTCATTATAAGCTACCTCCAGTAGAGTTAGGGGAACACACTCTATTTAAGGTACACCTCATTATAAGGTACGACAATTTCAGCCCTAAGGGTGTCTTATAATGAGGTTTTTAATTGTTATAAAAAATATTTAAAATATAAAGGAAAATTGATTGATTAATTTTAAGAGAGAATTTGCAAAAGATTTGATTCATCATTAACAATAAGGCAATAAAAAACTCGAGAACATTTTTAAAATGAGTGAGAAGCAGCCGCAAAAATTTTTTGACGTTTAAAAAAGTCTGAAGATGTCAGTTAATTATTTTAGCAAAAATAAAATGAGAGGCAAAATGCCTGCGGTTTTTTTGGGACAAAGAAAAAATGAAGAGGTTGAGGTTATTTTGGCGCCTGGAGGTTTTGGCGCGCTCCTCGAAATTGGGATTTTGGCGAAACCTAAATTTTTTAAAATTTTCCCAAATTTTTTCACCATCCTGGATCACCTCCTCCAGAAATTTCAGAATTTTTCATCGAATATTTTTCAAGTTGTAGTCGATAAACCTCGAAAAATGAGGTATTTTGGGAAGAATCAAAACATTTTTAACCCTAATTTGCTGAAATAATGGCTCAAAAATCCTGAAATTTTTGGAGAAAGTAGAACAACATACGAGGGGTTATTATTGAAAAATTTCATCCGTCTACATAATCAATTCACTATTTTATAAGCCCGAGATAGGCTCGCGCCAAAACGCCGCCGCGCCAAAACGGCTCAGTCCCAAATGAAGAGGAACTGGGAAAAGTAAAAAATAAAAATTTTAAAGGAAAGAAAAGTCAGTAGAAAGTGGAAGGAATTTAAAAAGTAAAATAATGCTACAGGTGGTTATTATTTTATTTTTTGTTTTTTTGTTTGTTGTCGGGGACATCATAAATATAATAATGCTTAAATGATTCTTTTTTAAAGAAGCTGATAGAGAGAGTGGAAATAAATTTTAAAAATACCTCCAAAGTCCTAAAATTTTTTGAAATTAAATGTGGGTCCGTGGAAAAAATTTTTGACGATGTGGCGGAAGGTTGGGGGTCACTAGAGTGATCAGAAAGGGATGTCAGGGGCCAAGGTACGGTTTTTTTGGGACAAAGGAAAAATGAAGAGGTTGGAGGCGTTTCGGCGCCTTAATGTTTTGGCGCGCGCCTCAAAATTGGGATTTTGGCGGAACCTAAATTTCTAGATTATCTCCAGACCGGATTAACCAGAAAAATCCGCCCGGGTCTGGCCAAATATTCAAGACTCCTAAAAATCTTTAAAAAACAACAAGGAAGGCATTGTATAGCGAGGACCACGTACCGGAAAGGGAGTGGGATTTAGGGCTGGACCTAAGTTCCAGACTCAAGTCCAGTTATAATACATAACTCAGAACATTTCTGCACAAAGGGTGGCGTAAACTGAGATCAACAAACTATTTAAAGGCTGTATAATAGTGAGCTGCGCTTGACGGACCGGGCTGGACTTTTCTGAAGTCGGTGACCCGAAGTCAGTCTTTCATGAGTTTCAGATTATCTTCGGACAGGATTAACCCAGAAAAATCAGGCCGGATCCGGACCGGTTTCACAAAAAAATAAAAAAAATAACGACCAAAATGTTTCGATAAACTAGTAATTATTTTCAAATTTTTTGCCAAAAAAATTTTCCACGCCAGTTAAAATCAATTGAAATTTTTATTTTCCCGCAGAGTTAAATATACTTTTTTTCCGTTATTTTACAGTTTATCTTCATTTTTTCATTTCTAGTGTCCCCAAAAAAGTAGTCTCCCTTGTCGGCACTTGGCTATTATTGGCGTTAGCCGTCAGTAAAAGAGGTTTTTTGAATGTAATCAATTTTCTTTTTCTTTCTACATATTTTGAGGGTAAAAAGGAGGGAAATGAATAAATAAATATATAAAAAAATTTTTTTTATTGTCAAAGATTATCTCTGTTAATTCAAAATTTAATAAAAAAAAATTTTTCGCAACATTTAAATAGTGATAAAATCAGAACCTACGCGTATTTAAAGTAGAGATCGCATCAGACTGTGAGGGTCGTATGAGAATCGTACATATGAGATAAGGCCAAAAAATAAAGGCCAAAACACTGCCTACTGACTATTAAAAGGTCTCATCTCGATTCGGTCTCTACTTTTAAACTTATTGACCATTTATGCGAAGCTGATTGGACGATACCACGATTTCTTTTGGCCCAAGAGTCTAACTGAGGCAAAGATTTCAGGCTTAAGAAAGATATCTTCAGAGATCCGGATGAGCTCACTGTTTTACTAGAAATATGGGGTGTAATCTTTATACTAATACAACAACCTCGGGACCGAATTGGCATTACGAAAAACAAAAGTGGTAGTTTAGAGAGAGAGTATTAGAAAGAATCCATTTTAATAAGCTTTTATGAGGGCCCATTTAAATTTTTAAATACGGGTGTCGTATTATCGAGGTGTGTCGTGTTATCGAGATTCCACTACTGCAACAAAAATTTTTAATAAAAAAGAAGGAAAGTATTGTAAATATTTACTAAATATGTAATATTTTATTTTGCTTATTTTATGAAAATTTAGTAGGAGGATTTAAATAAATTTAAAAATAAAAGATTAAAAAATAAAAATAAATTTTTAATTAAATTAACAAAACTATTCAATTTTTTATAAAAAAATATTTTTTGGGTTATGGCCAAAACATAGCCTACTGACTATTAAAGGGTCAATGCATGCAAAAAAGAGAGAAAAGGAGTATATAAATTCACCCTTTTTACCTCTTCATCCATTCTGTCACTGTTGGCGGCATTTTGTGTGTTATATCATTTTTTTACTACGTGGGCACATCCATAAATAAAATGGTTAGTGTGAGGCGGAAAAAAGGCGGGAGGAAAATTGGAAAAAAAGTAAATAAAATATAAAAAATATGGGGATGAGGAAATGAGTTAAAAAGGGTCAAAGTTGTGCCCCCCTATAATTCAACTGACAGATTGCCTGAGCGCGGTGAACGCGTCGAACATGTTCTTTTGTGGTGGTGAAATGAGGAAAGAAAATGAGAGAAAAAATAATGTATAGTCGAATCGGCACTAGTTTGTCCGCAAAAAATTTTATGTCCGCAAAAAATTTTTTTGTCCGCAAAAATTTTGCGGACAAAAAAATTTTTTGCGGATTTTCAGTTTTCCTTACTTCATTATAAGATAATACTCCTCGGAGATTAAAAAATTTGTCTCTCATAATGAGGTGTATATTAAATAGAGGATATCGCCTAGACCTCTCTCTCTCATTGTCCCCCTACCCAAGGGGAGAGGGACGTTTTGGCGCGGGGAAAGAGGCGTAAGTGAACAACTTATAACGAAGTTCGACTGTATTTAAGCTATTCCCACCTTTTACGTATATCGTTTGGCCCAATAATTGAAAGTAAATTTTGATTGTTCCATTGAGCATAAAATATTTTTGGTTGGCACTCTCTAATATCTATTGAAGCAAATAATATTTCTTCATCTTTGTTGTTTATGTATTTTAAAAGTTTTGGATTGAGAGAATTTTTGATGGATTCAATTTGTTGTTTTTTTAATTCTAAAATTATTTGAAATATTTATTTATGGCATTGAGTAGACTGACAATGCGGGAGTCTTATGCGTGTCTAGGAAATTCCGCAATGCAAGAAAATGTCCGCAGAAAAAATAGTCCGCAAAAAATGTCCGCAAAAGAGTCCCCCCAAAAAATGTCCGCAGAAAAGTCCTCCCAAAAATGTCAGCGAAAAAATCCCACAAAAAAAGTCCGCAATTAATGTCCACAGAAAAAGTCCCTCAGAAAAGTCCCCCCCCCCCCCCCCCCCCAATTCGTCCGCAAAAAAGTCCGCAAAGAATTCCCTAATTGCAATTTATTTATAACTTTACTTACCCTCAGTACGAGAAGAATATTCTTCTGCCTCCACTAATGAAGACTCCGGTGAGGCTACCTTTTTAAAATAATTAATCCAAATTTTTTCTATTTTATTTTACTTGTTCAACTAAACGTTTAAAAGCACTTTCACCAATTTCTGCCTCCAAATTTTTTATTCCCTTGTTTAACGCTGTATTTTGTTTTCTCAAGTTGTTTAATTCTGAACGAAGTAGTTTTACATCTTCTGAATAGAAATAAGTATTTTTTAACGGATACAGGCAAAATAGAGTGTATGTATCGCTTGGGCAAGGTTCGCAAAAAATGTCCGCAAAATTTTTGCGGATGTCCGCAAATTTTTTGCGGACGTCTTTTGCGGACATTTTTTCTTTACTTGTGGATTAAGATACGCAACATTATAAGGTACTATTTTTCAGCTCCAGGGGGTCTTATAGCAAGGTTTTGACTAATAAAATTAACCTTCCATTTTCTTAGGCCTAGGATCAGTACGTGGATCACTAGGCGTTGACAAAGCATTTCTCATTGGTTTTGGAGAACGATTAACAGCAAAGACTGGCATTTTAAATGAATTAAAATTTAATAATAATGGAATAATAAATCTGAAATTAAGGGAATAAGAAAGAATCCGCGTCCAAGCATCCCGTGCAAACGATCTATATTCTTCAAAGGTTACGTTCTGATCGACGTCTCGAGGCCTTATTTTGAGACATAACTTTTTTGATTCATAACCGATTTGAATGTATTATATCAATCGAAAGCTCTTGATTTAAGTAGTTCTTTAGCTAACGAAATTAATTTGATCAGGTCGTCCAAGAAAAAGTTACAGCCGAATAAATATCAAAAATCACGATTACTAGCACTTATCCAGGTGTAGCTTTTAGTAGTGTGATCTGATCAAAACAGTCCTGCTAGCTAAAATAATCCTCACACCGAGAGCTTTCGATTGATATAAAAAGTATTAAAATCGGTTAAGAAATAAAAAAATTATGGCCCAAAATATGACCTCATGTCTAAGTAAAGGTCTTTATTATGAACGGCATTTCCCGGTGAATTTCAATCCTTTTTTGAAAATTCAAAAAAATTCTAAACACATAAATAATCTTCACGTTCAATCTCTATATTTATCATTCAAAGACTTTGACTTTTAGAAGGATTTTGATGTAGACAGGGGATTGTTTAAGAAAAAAAGGCATAAAAAGGGATAAAACGCCTAGGCACGTAAAGGGAAGGAAACAATATTTTTAGGGAAAACTTTTTTTCAAAAAAAGAAGAACAAATAAATATGGAAATGGATGTTTTTTCTTACTTGGAGAAAGTTTTTGTGAAAATAAAGATGCTTGCTAAACGACGGCTATAAGGCATAAAATTTGCTGCCTTATAGCCGTTAGCTTGTAAGGCTTTTTGGGGGGAGATAAAGTCACTCTTGCCATTTTTTCTCTGTTTTTTTTCAATTTAAATATATTTTCCCACACTTTTTAGGGGAATAATAAACATAATAAATTAAGTTTGGACTTTATTTTTTGGCTAAATATTTACAAAAAGAAAATAAAATAATCTTCCGAGTCTAAGAATCATGCTAAGTAATTTCGATCTATATTTGCTTTTCGGTTTATATTGTACGGAGAAATAGGTTTTGATTGGATAAAGGTGATTAAGAGGGATCAAGGAGTATGAGAGATTTGGGAGGATAAGGATAGTCTTCCCTTATATCCTCAATCCCACTTTATCCTTCCAAATCCCTATATCCTTAATCACTCTTCGAACCTTCTTTATCGCCCCCCCAATCCTTCTTAAATTCATATCCTCTTATATCCTCAATCCCTCTTTATCCTTTCAAATCCCTTTATCCCTCCTTAATCACTCTTAATCCACTCTTAATCCACTCTTAATCCCTTCGAACCCCCTTAATCTCAAATCCCTCCTTATCACCCTCAACCCCTTAATTCCAAATCCCTTAATATTCACAATCCTCTTTATTCTCCCAAATCCTTTATTTCTCCTTAATCCACCTTGATATCCTCAATCATTCAAAGCCCCTTTTATCGGCCAATATCAATCCCCTTATATCCCAAATTCTTTCATACTTCCCTAATCTTTATATATCCCTTAATGACACTCTTAAGTTTGGTTTTTTAACATAAGAATTTGGTGAAACCGACCATCTAAATTTTAAACATTAAAAACTTTTTTATAACATTAAAAGACGATATCTTCTTTCCTTAAATGTTTTCCATTAAAATAAATACCCTTAGACAAATTGAATAAAAATGGCCAAGTTAGTACTCAAAAAAGGCAAAAAGTGGATAAATAGTTTTGAGAAAATAATTTAAGAAAGGGACAGACTAAGAAAAAAAAAACAAATTTAGGATGAATTAAGGAACTTCGTTTAATAGACAGCGGGAGAGTCGAAAAAAGTTAATAATACTTATTTAATAGAGAAATACCCAAAGTGCCAAACCCAGATATTGCCAAAAATGTTTATTATCATTAGATTTGTTTTACTACGCTCGGATCCGAGCAACCCTTGACTCACGCGAGACGCAAATCGCGATTCTACATGGAATCTCGCCCATGGAATCTTGCTAATTCCATAGGTTTAGCTATTGTCGAAAATTGTCATTTTTGGTCTATGTGTCATTATGTGGATTTGACATTTTATGGGGTAATCACTTCCTTGGATTTACGACAAGACAACAACTGTGGGGTGACAGTTCCGGATGTAACAATTGCAGATATCAAATAAGAAAAAAAAATAATTTTCTTGAAGCTGCAGTGCCGGTTAACGTTTTCCAGATTCTGAGGGTTTCAGAATGATCATTGATTCGATACGGCGCTAATTATATTTGATTAACACCTTTATCTAGCAAATTTTTCAGTTGAATATTTAAGAATTATTTAGCCAATTTTTATTAAAAATTCTAATATTTAATTAAAAATTTAAGAAAAATAAAAGAGAAAAAAATGTATAAAATGACTACAAAAATATTTTTTATTTAATTTTCTTGAGTATTTCCTCCACTTTTGTTTAAATTTATTCGCTTCGACGTTGATCCAAATTCTTTGAAGAACGTTTCAAATTATTTGTTGTCGTTGTTGATCCTTAAAAAATTTTTTTCCTTGATTTTTAAGTCTTACAAACACCTGTCCCAGCAACTCCTCCATTACTGACAGCAGCAGCTAATTGGGCTTGTGCTGCCAACTGGGCAACGTAGCTTTGGGAGTTGGTTACTGATGTTGGGGCTGTTGCGGATAGAGTATTTACTTGTTGGAGAACTTTAAAAAATTTTTATAATGAGGTGTATGTTAAATAGAGGTCAGTCCCCATTATAAGGTATCCACCTGAAGTGAAAACTGACTCTTCTAATGAGGTGTGTCTTAATTAGAGGTCAAACCTCATTACAAGATACTTCCTTGGAGTCTGAAAAATCGAACCTTATAATAAGGTGTTTCTTAAATAGTGGTCAAACCTCATTATAAGGTACCCCTTTCGTGTCTGAAAAATCGTACCTTATAATAAGGTGTATCTTAAATAGAGGGTATCGCTTAAGCAGCTTCCCAACCCAGTATCTATCCAAATTTGTAAACGTCTCTTAAATTGAGGTATACTTATTATTTGGGGTTATAATAAGGTATTGAATATACGGACCTCACTATAAGGGACTCCTAATACTATATAGACATCTATATAATGGACGTTTTTTAAAAGTCAGTAGAATATTGAATTGGTTAGCCTTCTGTGTGATATCCCAATTTAAGGCACACCTCGCTATAAGAGACACTTTTTCAGCTTTAAGGGAGTAGCTTATAATGAGGCCCTATTCAGATACATACAAGGATATGCGGCTGCCAAAGAAGCAGAATTAGAATAATCAAATTGTGGGGTTCCACTACCTACAGGCATCCCATAAGCAGCCGCTACAGCAGCTAAGGATGTCTGTTGATTCCCGCTTTGTTGTTGCTGGGCCGCTGCAGCCAAAAAAAGTTGGTTATAATCAAAGTAAGCAGAATTAGCAGTATTTGCCCCACTGGTAACAGCAACATTTGCTTGCTGTTGTTGTTGGAGTAGTGCTGCTGTAAATAAATATATTTTTTGCGGACAAGTAAACATCGGGATGGGGGGGGGGTTTCTTGCGGGTTTTTTCTCTCATACTCCTTAGATCCTCCCATATGGACTTTCCAACAATTAGTATTAAAACGCTTAAACGGGGGCTTGAGAGAAAGATTCTCCCATTAGATTCTCCCATATATAAACGGGGGCATGAGAGAAAGGAATGAGGTGAACAGGCACCTGAACGAGGTGATCGATCCGTTGCTTGCGGTAGTGAGATGCTGAAAGGATAGCGCGGAACACCGCATCAACAATCGCCCATCCATCATGTGAAACAACTAGGGATGGGCGAAATTTCGTTTGTTAACCTCTTCCCTTCCGTTCGGTTCGTAACAGAGAGACAGTATATCAGACTATATACCTTGTTGTGCTGCCAAAGCAACCAAAGCAGCAGTATTCTGCGGTTGTTGGGAAATATTTTGAGAAAATTGAATAGCAGCCAAGGGGTTAATAGCAGCCAGTTGTTGCTGTGCCGCTTGTTGTTGAGCGGCAGCAATAGCCGCAGCAGTCGTTGGGTTTTGTGAAAGTAAAAGTTGACTAGTTGGAGAAGCTGCTGCAGCCGATAAAACACTTGCTGCCAAGCTTAAAAAAATTTTTTTGCAAATTTTAAAAATTTTTAAGTGCCAAAAATAATTATTTCACTTCATAATACACCAAAATTTAGATTTAAACAAGTTAAAAAACAACCCAAAAATAATTAAAAATAAAATAACCATCACCATAAAAAAGCATAAAAACCCTAAAATTGGTTGGTTCACAAAAACAAAGCAAGAAAAAACAAATTAAACACCGTATTACCTCTAATTGAACGCCCGGGCATTCTGTTTTTAAATCACGTTTCAAAGAGGGATTTTAGGGGGGAGGAAGAGGGAGAGGGAGGGGGTTATATTAGGGCAATTTGTGGGTAGAAGGAGGAAGAGGGGGGAGAGAGAATGAGGGGAAGAGAGAGAGAGGGAGGAGTGTTATGAGGGGGAGGGAGGAGAGGGGGGGAGGGAGGAGGGGGGGGGAAGAGGGAAGGGGGAGAGAGGAGGGGGGGGGGAAGAGAGACAATAGGGGGGAAGGTGTTATATTAGAGGTAATACGGTGGTATATATATTTATTGTGAATTCCGAAAACACTTCAACCTCAAAAATTGGGGACTCACATTTATTTAATTTTTTGAAATGTTCTCTTCATGCACTGAATTTTAAATTTAAAATTTATTTTGAATTACCCTTAAGTTTACTAGGGAAAAATAAGTAATCCGCATACCGTTGTTGTTGCTGTTGTAATTGGAGAGCTGCTTGCAATTGAACTGCCTACATAAAAAACAAATTTAAGTTCAAAAATCCCCAAAATTTGTCCGCAAGTTATCAAAAGTTCGTAACCCCAAAAGTCCGCAACTTTTGTCCGCAAGTTGCTAAAAGTCCGCAACTTCTATCCGCGTTTTCAAAAGTCCGCAACTTCTGTCCGCAAGTTTTAAAGGTCCGCAAATTTTGTCCGCAACTTTTGCCGTAAATTATAAAAAATATAATAAAAGTATCTTTTGCCTGTAATTGTGGAAGTTGTCCAAGCGTTTGAGAAAGGACAGCCAGGTGCGAATTGTTTCTAGGCTTAGCTCCCAAATAGGCCAAATTAACATTTGTTTTTCGGCCATCAATTATTGGGTTTGGATCGCTTTAAATTTCAAGCTAAATTGAAATTAACAAAGAAAATACCGGCAAGCTTTTTCAGCTTGAGCTCTTTCCTTCATTGTTACAAAGCCATAACCACGACTTTTCTGTGTTTGCCTGTCGGTTATTACCACCGCCTTAAATAAATTTGTTAATTATTTGCTTGATATAATGATACCCTTTGGGCCGGATTGTGGTGACGTTGAAGGAAAGTGACGTGGGATCGAGGGAGAGGAATTTGTGTCCGCAAAAAATTGTCCGCAAAATTTTGCCCGTAAAAATCTGTCCGCAAAAATTGTCCGCAAAAATGGACGCAAGAATTGTCCGCAAAATTTGTCTGAATAAAATTTTGTCTGCAAAATTCTGTCCGCAAAAGAGACCCTATCTTTCCTCTAAAGTTCCTAATTAATTTAACACAAACTTCTTCGATCTCCCCAAATTGACTAAAATAATTATTCAACGATTCGTCTGTTGTATGGTAAGGAAGTCCACCAACGAATATTTTTGTAAATCTTGTATCCCTACTTCCAGTAGGTGGGGATGAACTATCTCCGTTTGAAGAAGAGTATGCAGAGTTTGTAATAGCCGTTGCTTGTTGGGCTGCTAATGTTGCTTGAAGGATTGCTTGGTCTGATAGAGTTGCTGCGTTGAGTTGTTGGTTGTAGAGGGAGGCTGGTTGCATTTTTGGACGGTAAGGAGTAGTTGAGAATTACTGTATTTTTACTTAATATTAAAAATTTTTAAAAGGTTTTGAACAGTTTCGACCAGTTAAAATCTCCATAAGCTACGGCCTTTTGTACTAAAAATATCTCGTACCTTACAATAAGGAGTATATTGCATAAAAGGTATCGTTCTCCCACTCAAGTGAAAACCAAAGCTTGAAAATGTATCTAAAATAATGTCGAGGTTCTTATAATGAAGGTATCCTAAATAGAGGGTTCGTTGTTCTTATGATGAGGGTATCTTAATAGAAAGTTCGATTAGCCACCTCTTCCAAAAGATGACAAAAAAGGTTTTTATAGAGCTTATCCTAAATAGAGGTGTATCTAGTATTGGGGTTCGACCTCTATTATAAATCTAGTTGAACTTCTCTATAGTGAACATACATTACTGAGGACCTCTAATTAACAGACGTTTTTTTTTAATTTGACTGGAGACTCAGTAGAGAGTCGAAACTCTTGGAGAGACTTGGAGAGTAGTCATATCCAAGAGACTCTTGAAGAGCTGTCTAAGAGATACCCTCTATTTTATATACCTATCATTATAAGGTACAATTTTTCTAGTCCCAGGAGGCATCTTATAAAGAGCTTCCATTGAAATATTATTCTTATGAAAATTTAAAATAAAGAAATATTTTTTTCTCAATTTCTGGTTAATATATCCATTGGTTTTGACATAAACTCTAATAAAAGAAAGCAACTGTTATTTTACTTTTTCTGATCCCTTTAGCTAAAGAAATAAAGGTTTATTCTCTTTCTTTTAAGCTTTAAACTAAAAATTCTCGAGAATAATAAACATTAAGTTGAGAAAAGGGATTGTTTAGAGGATTAACAAAAGCTTTGAAAGAAAATATTTTTTTGGAGAAATTGACAAAAAAGGTTGGAAAAAGGTTTGGAGAAGGGGGAATAAATAAATAGTTGAGGACACAGTAGGTGACCAAGGTAAAGCTTCTTGACGAGAAAATAAGTAGGACCTCTTGCAAAAAAATTTTTGACGTTAAGGTGAGTCTTAGGCTGCTTAGGCGCTCTATATGTGGGATAACTCCATCGGACCTAATTTATGTGAACCCCATCTATCGTGCACATTTAAGCGTACACCTGTTAAATTTTTGGTTGGCACAGAGGCACACAGTGTCAAAGTCTGGGCTATCATAAATATACTCCAATCAGTAGAGCTGCTCAAGAGTCTCGGTCTCGAGTTGAGAAATTTCTCGGTTTTAGGACTCGATTCCTCGTCTCGGTCCTAATTCTCGGTTCTCGGTTCTCGAGTCTCTGTAAATTTTGATTCTCGAACAGTACCACCACCCAGCATGTGCCTCATTTCAATGTACGATTTTTTAACACCAAGAAGCATTAACATAAGGTCCCACAAGTCAATTGAATAAATTTTTCTGTTTAACCAAAGATTTTGCGGATCTCTAACAAAAAACATTTAAAAATCACCTCTATAGAGGGTCGTCAAATTCAGATAGATTCAAGAATATTCAAACTGTTCCCAGCAATTTTGTAGACTTTTTTATATTCACTGATCCCCTAATTAATTAATTAATTAATTTAAAAATAAAAATAAAAATTAAATAAAATTCTCTCGGCAATCAACAAATAGTAAAAACAAACGATTTAAAAATAAAAAAAATTTTTAAAGAAAGAAAAACACGGCATATGCTTTCTGTGATTAAAAGCGTGTTAGTTAAAATTAAATTAAAAAATAGAGTTAGGGGTTTCATAAGCATGCATCGAAGATATGCATCTCGCAAAAATGTCAAAATATGCATATTATATTTGCATATTACATACTAGAAATGGGCCGGGTTCCCCGAAACCCTGTCTTTTTCGACCCGATCCGAAAATTTTTTATAAGACCCGACCTGACCTTTTACCCTGTCAATCCCCATGACTGACCCGATCCGAAACCCGGACTTTTTTCGACCCGAAACTCGATCCGAAGAAAATTTTGGAAACCCGACCCGACTTTTCTCTCAATCCGGCCCTTCCCTGTTACATACATGAATGTTACATATCCGCGTTTGACTTGCGGATGCGAACCTTGTCGACATAATAGTGGATCAACAGGTGGATCTCACTTATACGGCACCTCTTTTACTGAGCCCATATTAAAGGTAAAATACCTAATTTTTTACGAGAGGTGTCATATAAGCAAATTTCGAGTGTGTTTTCAGCTATAATTTGCAAAAAGAAATGAAATAAAATGTTCAAAAATAAGAAAAAAATTTTTTATATTCTTTACATATGGCAATAAAAAACATTAAATTGCCTATCCTTAAACCTACTATTTTTTATCCCACAAATCTCCACCATTGACTAGAGAAAAATGGAAAAATATGTTCAATTTCCTGTTCATTGTGAAAAATAAATTGATTGAGAAATGGAGATATCAATATAGTGTACATACGCCCTTGGAGCCGGAAAACCCGTTCATAAGATAGAAAGTATATACTAATGAGGGTATACTAATAAGGAGGTTGTACTGTACTAAGAATTTTTTATAGGTATATCAGGGATGTGTCCGTTTCGACTTTCGCCAAATTTCGTGGTTTTTGGTGTTTCGCCTTTCAACTTTCGCTTTTTAAAATAAATTTCGGCACACCCTGTTATGTATAGTTTCAGCCTAAATCTCCAAATCAGAGATGTGTGCCATAGCGTTTTGCCGTTTCGTTTTAGCATCCATTTTTGTCCAATTTTGGCGTTCTGGTGTTTGGCGTTTTTTAAAAATTTGAAAAATTGGCGTTTTGCGTTAAGCGCGCCCTGAAAAAATTTTTGGCGCACATCCCTGATCCAAATGCTTTAATTTAATCCGCTCTGGCCCACTAATTTAATGTAAAGGTATTTGAAAAAATTTTTTATATTCGAGTTCAAAAAATAAAATAAAAGAATTAAAAAGGCAACGACTTCAAATAAAAAGAAAACTTCAATTTCACACCAAGCTTAAAATCAGGATGAGCGAGTATATTAAAAGAGGTTTTGATATAGCAGCGTCAAAATCCACTTTTCACATTAAAAACCTTTTTAAAAATTCGGGGAGATGCACGCAAACAATTGAAAGTTTATGGAAATTGTTGTTCTTATAAAATTCAAATTTCATTTTTTGTAGTAGATTAAAAAATATTTTTAAGTTTTCTAAAATACAAATTTTTCTTTTAATTCAAGAAAAAATTTTTTTGATTAAAATTTTTAAAAATTTTAAAAATCATAGCGAACGGAAAATTGTTTATTTTATGAACGAGTCGAGAAAAATAAAGCGGTGAGGGGTAAATTTTCTTAAGGTTGGGGTTTCGAGTCTAAAAATTCCGGGGTTAGGATTTAGTAGCAGTTTTCGGGTAATCCGTTCGAAACCCCATCCAACTCTGATTTAGCTCAACCAAAAATTTTTTTCTCAGAAATTTTTTGATAAACGAGACGTTCGTTAAGGCAACATACGATACTTTTAAAGCAACAAAAATAATGGCTCTTGTCCAGTTTATGCGTCCCATGAAAGTATATGCGTCCCATCAACAAAAAATTGAATATTTCTTGGTGTTGCAAAGTAGGTGTGCAAAAGTACTCGTGTGCAAAAGTAGGTGTAGGTGTGCAAAAGTAGGTGTTGCAAAAGTACTCAAAAAAGGCAAAAAGGGGATAAAAAGTTTTGAGAAAATAATTTAAGAAAGGGACAACCTAAAAAGTAAATTTAGGAATAAATTAAGGAACCTCGTTTAATAAACATAGGACTTGGTGACAATGAGACAAAATTTTGGAGTGTCTATGTGCAGTTTTGTACATGGGACCGTCCCCTGCTTCGGAGGAGGCTTTTAACAAATATTCATTTGGAATACGGATGAATATGGATCAAGAGCTACACGGATCTAAGCATCACTGATATATCCGGATACGGACAGCAAAATCCGTGTAAATATCCTAATCTACCTCTGTCTAGCTAATTTTAAGTTGTATATTTAAAAATTGTTTAGCCAATTTTTATTAAAAATCCTAATATTTAATTAAAAATTTTAAAAAAATAAAAGAGAAAAAATGTATAAAATGACTACAAAAATATTTTTTTATTTGATTTTTTTGAGTATTTCCTCCACTTTTTTAAATTTATTCGCTTCGACGTTGATCCAAATTCTTTGAAGAACGTTTTAAATTATTTGTTGTTGTAGTTGATCCTTGAAAAATTTTTTTTCATCAGTTTTTAAGTCTTACAAACACCTGTCCCAGCAACTCCTCCATTACTGACAGCAGCAGCTAATTGGGCTTGTGCTGCCAATTGGGCAACGTAACTTTGGGAGTTGGTTACTGATGTTGGAGCTGTTGCGGATAGAGTATTTACTTGTTGGAGAACTTTAAGAAATTTTTTATAATGAGGTGTACGTTAAATAGAGGTCAGTCCCCATTATAAGGTATCCGCTTGGAGGGAAAACTCTCTTATAATGAGGTGTGTCTTAAATGGAGGGTATCGCTTAGGCAGCTTCCCAGCTTCCCAACCCAGTATCTATCCAAATTTTAAGACGTCTCTTAAATTGAGGTGTAGAAAATATTGGGGGTTATAATGAGGTATTGAATAGTCGGACCTCACTATAAGAGACTCCTAATACTAGATAGACCTCTATCTAATGGACGTTTTTTAAAAGTCGGTAGGATATTAAATTGGTTAGCCTTCTATGTGATATCCCAATTTAAGGCACACCTCGCTATAGGGGACAATTTTTGTGCCCTAAGGGGGTCATTATAATGAAGTCCTATTGTCCTGAATACATACAAGGATATGCGGCTGCCAAAGAAGCAGAATTAGAATAATCAAATTGTGGAGTTCCACTACCTACAGGCATCCCATAAGCTGCCGCTACAGCAGCTAAAGAAGTCTGTTGATTCCCGCTTTGTTGTTGCTGGGCTGCTGCTGCCAATAAAAGTTGGTTATAATCAAAATAAGCAGAATTGGCAGTATTTGCCCCACTGGTAACGGCAACATTTGCTTGCTGTTGTTGTTGGAGTAGGGCTGCTAGAAATAAAACTATTTTTTGCGGACAAGTAAACATTGGGGGATTTTTGCGGACTTTTCTCCTCGCTTTTCTGAGTTTTTCCTCAGGGACATTTTAAAACGATTAAACGTGGGCTTGAGAAAGATGAATGAGGTGAACCTGATCGTTGTTGCGATAGTGAGATGCTGTAAGGTAACATACAGACGGACCTCGTTATAGAATCTCTTAACTAGAGGGTATCCATTAGGCAGCCCAGTAGGCGACTAAATTTTAGAAAAATGCAATTTAAGTCGTATTCTAAGCCCCTTTTCACTTCCATTTCGTTTCGGAACGAAACTCGCTAGGAGCGTTTCAGAGAGACTATATACCTTGCTGTGCCGCCAAAGCAACCAAAGCAGCAGTATTCTGTGGTTGCTGAGAAATATTTTGAGAAAACTGAATGGCAGCCAAGGGGTTAATAGCAGCCAGTTGTTGCTGTGCCGCTTGTTGTTGAGCAGCAGCAATAGCCGCAGCAGTCGTTGGGTTTTGTGAAAGTAAAAGTTGACTAGTTGGAGAAGCTGCTGCAGCTGATAAAACACTGGCTGCCAAGCTTAAAAAATTTTTTTTGGAAATTTTTAAAATTTTTTAAGTGCCAAAAATAATTATTTCACTTCATAATACACCAAAATTTAGATTTAAACAAGTTAAAAAACAACCCAAAAATAATTAAAAATAAAATAACCATCACCATAAAAAAGCATAAAAACCCTAAAATTGGTTGGTTCACAAAAACAAAGCAAGAAAAAACAAATTAAACACCGTATTACCTCTAATTGAACGCCCGGGCATTCTGTTTTTAAATCACGTTTCAAAGAGGGATTTTAGGGGGGAGGAAGAGGGAGAGGGAGGGGGTTATATTAGGGCAATTTGTGGGTAGAAGGAGGAAGAGGAGGGAGAGAGAATGAGGGGAAGAGAGAGAGAGGGAGGAGTGTTATGAGGGGGAGGGAGGAGAGGGGGGGAGGGAGGAGGGGGGGGGGAAGAGGGAAGGGGGAGAGAGGAGGGGGGGGGGAAGAGAGACAATAGGGGGGAAGGTGTTATATTAGAGGTAATACGGTGGTATATATATTTATTGTGAATTCCGAAAACACTTCAACCTCAAAAATTGGGGACTCACATTTATTTAATTTTTTGAAATGTTCTCTTCATGCACTGAATTTTAAATTTAAAATTTATTTTGAATTACCCTTAAGTTTACTAGGGAAAAATAAATAATCCGCATACCGTTGTTGTTGCTGTTGTAATTGGAGAGCTGCTTGCAATTGAACTGCCTACATAAAAAACAAATTTAAGTTCAAAAATCCCCAAAATTTGTCCGCAAGTTATCAAAAGTTCGTAACCCCAAAAGTCCGCAACTTTTGTCCGCAAGTTGCTAAAAGTCCGCAACTTCTATCCGCGTTTTCAAAAGTCCGCAACTTCTGTCCGCAAGTTTTAAAGGTCCGCAAATTTTGTCCGCAACTTTTGCCGTAAATTATAAAAAATATAATAAAAGTATCTTTTGCCTGTAATTGTGGAAGTTGTCCAAGCGTTTGAGAAAGGACAGCCAGGTGCGAATTGTTTCTAGGCTTAGCTCCCAAATAGGCCAAATTAACATTTGTTTTTCGGCCATCAATTATTGGGTTTGGATCGCTTTAAATTTCAAGCTAAATTGAAATTAACAAAGAAAATACCGGCAAGCTTTTTCAGCTTGAGCTCTTTCCTTCATTGTTACAAAGCCATAACCACGACTTTTCTGTGTTTGCCTGTCGGTTATTACCACCGCCTTAAATAAATTTGTTAATTATTTGCTTGATATAATGATACCCTTTGGGCCGGATTGTGGTGACGTTGAAGGAAAGTGACGTGGGATCGAGGGAGAGGAATTTGTGTCCGCAAAAAATTGTCCGCAAAATTTTGCCCGTAAAAATCTGTCCGCAAAAATTGTCCGCAAAAATGGACGCAAGAATTGTCCGCAAAATTTGTCTGAATAAAATTTTGTCTGCAAAATTCTGTCCGCAAAAGAGACCCTATCTTTCCTCTAAAGTTCCTAATTAATTTAACACAAACTTCTTCGATCTCCCCAAATTGACTAAAATAATTATTCAACGATTCGTCTGTTGTATGGTAAGGAAGTCCACCAACGAATATTTTTGTAAATCTTGTATCCCTACTTCCAGTAGGTGGGGATGAACTATCTCCGTTTGAAGAAGAGTATGCAGAGTTTGTAATAGCCGTTGCTTGTTGGGCTGCTAATGTTGCTTGAAGGATTGCTTGGTCTGATAGAGTTGCTGCGTTGAGTTGTTGGTTGTAGAGGGAGGCTGGTTGCATTTTTGGACGGTAAGGAGTAGTTGAGAATTACTGTATTTTTACTTAATATTAAAAATTTTTAAAAGGTTTTGAACAGTTTCGACCAGTTAAAATCTCCATAAGCTACGGCCTTTTGGACTAAAAATATCTCGTACCTTACAATAAGGAGTATATTGCATAAAAGGTATCGTTCTCCCACTCAAGTGAAAACCAAAGCTTGAAAATGTATCTAAAATAATGTCGAGGTTCTTATAATGAAGGTATCCTAAATAGAGGGTTCGTTGTTCTTATGATGAGGGTATCTTAATAGAAAGTTCGATTAGCCACCTCTTCCAAAAGATGACAAAAAAGGTTTTTATAGAGCTTATCCTAAATAGAGGTGTATCTAGTATTGGGGTTCGACCTCTATTATAAATCTAGTTGAACTTCTCTATAGTGAACATACATTACTGAGGACCTCTAATTAACAGACGTTTTTTTTTAATTTGACTGGAGACTCAGTAGAGAGTCGAAACTCTTGGAGAGACTTGGAGAGTAGTCATATCCAAGAGACTCTTGAAGAGCTGTCTAAGAGATACCCTCTATTTTATATACCTATCATTATAAGGTACAATTTTTCTAGTCCCAGGAGGCATCTTATAAAGAGCTTCCATTGAAATATTATTCTTATGAAAATTTAAAATAAAGAAATATTTTTTTCTCAATTTCTGGTTAATATATCCATTGGTTTTGACATAAACTCTAATAAAAGAAAGCAACTGTTATTTTACTTTTTCTGATCCCTTTAGCTAAAGAAATAAAGGTTTATTCTCTTTCTTTTAAGCTTTAAACTAAAAATTCTCGAGAATAATAAACATTAAGTTGAGAAAAGGGATTGTTTAGAGGATTAACAAAAGCTTTGAAAGAAAATATTTTTTTGGAGAAATTGACAAAAAAGGTTGGAAAAAGGTTTGGAGAAGGGGGAATAAATAAATAGTTGAGGACACAGTAGGTGACCAAGGTAAAGCTTCTTGACGAGAAAATAAGTAGGACCTCTTGCAAAAAAATTTTTGACGTTAAGGTGAGTCTTAGGCTGCTTAGGCGCTCTATATGTGGGATAACTCCATCGGACCTAATTTATGTGAACCCCATCTATCGTGCACATTTAAGCGTACACCTGTTAAATTTTTGGTTGGCACAGAGGCACACAGTGTCAAAGTCTGGGCTATCATAAATATACTCCAATCAGTAGAGCTGCTCAAGAGTCTCGGTCTCGAGTTGAGAAATTTCTCGGTTTTAGGACTCGATTCCTCGTCTCGGTCCTAATTCTCGGTTCTCGGTTCTCGAGTCTCTGTAAATTTTGATTCTCGAACAGTACCACCACCCAGCATGTGCCTCATTTCAATGTACGATTTTTTAACACCAAGAAGCATTAACATAAGGTCCCACAAGTCAATTGAATAAATTTTTCTGTTTAACCAAAGATTTTGCGGATCTCTAACAAAAAACATTTAAAAATCACCTCTATAGAGGGTCGTCAAATTCAGATAGATTCAAGAATATTCAAACTGTTCCCAGCAATTTTGTAGACTTTTTTATATTCACTGATCCCCTAATTAATTAATTAATTAATTTAAAAATAAAAATAAAAATTAAATAAAATTCTCTCGGCAATCAACAAATAGTAAAAACAAACGATTTAAAAATAAAAAAAATTTTTAAAGAAAGAAAAACACGGCATATGCTTTCTGTGATTAAAAGCGTGTTAGTTAAAATTAAATTAAAAAATAGAGTTAGGGGTTTCATAAGCATGCATCGAAGATATGCATCTCGCAAAAATGTCAAAATATGCATATTATATTTGCATATTACATAACAGGAATGGGCCGGGTTCCCGAAACCTGGACTTTTTTCGACGCGATACACGATCCTAAGGAAATTTTATAAGACCCTGTCTGAACTTTTACCCTCTTAATCCCCAAAACTGACCCGATCCGAAAGCCGAAACCCGGACTTTTTTTCGACCCAAAACCCGATCCAAAGAAAATTTTGGAAACCCGACCCGACTTTTGTCTCAATCCGGCCTATCACTGTTACATACTTGAATATTACATATCCGCATTTGACTTGCGGATGCGAACCTTGTCGGCATAATGGTGGATTAATAGGGGGATCTCACTTATAAGACAACTCTTTTTACTGACCCCATCTAAAGGCACTAATTTCTTCACGAGAGGTGTCGTATAAGCGGGTTTCGAGTGTGTTTTTAACTATAATTTGGAAAAATAAATGAAATATAAATGTTCAAAAATAAGAAAATAATTTTTTATTCTTTACATATGGCAATAAAAAACATTAAATTGCCTATCCTTAAACCTACTATTTTTTATCCCACAAATCTCCACCATTGACTAGAGAAATGTGGAAAAAAATATGTTCAATTTCCTGTTCATTGTGAAAAATAAATTGATTGAAAAATGAAGATATGTATCAATATAGTGTGCGCCTTTGGAGCTGGATAACCCGTACACCAGGCTGAGAGTATATACTAATGGGGGTATATTAATAAGAAAGGTCTACTGTCTCAAAAATTTTTATATGTATATCAGGGATGTGCCAGTTTCGTCTTTCGCGAATTTCGCCTTTTTTGGTGTTCGCCTTTCGACTTTTGTTTTTTAAAATTAAATTTTGGCACAACCTGTTCAATATAGTGTAAATATGCCCTTGGATCATGGTTTGGTTTCACCTAAATCTCCAAATCAAAGATATGTGCCATAGAATTTTTGCCGTTTCGTTTTGGCATCCATTTTTGGTGATTTTGGCGTTCTGTTGTTTGGCGTGTTTTGAAAATTTGAAAAATTGGCGCGACCTGAAAAATTTTTGGCGCACGTCCTTGCTCTAAATGCATTATTTAAATACCATTGCGTTACTTAAATCCGCTCTGGTCTCCAAATTTAAAGTAAAGGAAGTTGAATAATTTTTTTATATTCGAGTTCAAAAAATAAAATAAAAGAATTAAAAAGGCAACGACTTCAAATAAAAAGAAAACTTCAATTTCACACCAAGCTTAAAATCAGGATGAGCGAGTATATATTAGAGGTAGCAGCGTCAAATAAAATACAACTTTTCACATTAAAAACCTTTTTAAAAATTCGGGGAGATGCACGCAAACAAGTGAGAGTTTATGGAAATTGTTGTTCTTATAAAATTCAAATTTCATTGTTTGTAGTAGATTAAAAAATATTTTAAGTTTTCTAAAATACAAATTTCTTTGATTTCAAAAAAATATATTGAAATATTTCATATAAAATTTTGTTTGTTTTACGGTTCAGACGAGTCGAGAAAAATAAACGCGGGAGGGATAAAAATCGCGGGAAGGGGTCTTAGGGGTTTCGAGTCTAAAAATTCCGGGATAGCTCGTATCGGATTTAGGATAATCCCTTCGAAACCCCGTCCGTCTCTGGTTTAGCTCAACCAAAAATTTTTTTCACAAAAAATTGAAAACGAACGTTGAGAAGTTCGGGTATACGACACTCTTAAAGCATTAATAATGATGGTTGGGGACGCGATTCGGTTCGAAAGATCAAATCGGGCATCGAATTTTGGCCCGAAAAAGACTCGAACGTAGACCCTATTCGAAAACCCATTCTAACAATAATAGTTATATTTTATAAAATTAAATCCAAGAATCTTTTAAAATAATTAAAAAATGAAAAAATTATTATTGTCCATTAATTCTTTATGTGATCAATAAAAAAATTTTATTTAAAGTAATAAAAAATAAAATAAAGAAATAATAAAAATGTAATAATAATTTCTTTAAGATAAAAAAATGTTTCTATTTTTGTAAAAAAATAAAATAATTAAATTATTAAAAAAAGTGACAAAATTGCCGTTTATGTGACACCTTTTTTTAATTCCCTCCCAGAATTCCCCTATAGACGCTGGAACAAATCAACCTTCTATTTAAGATACACCCATTAAAAGAGACCATTTCTTAGGGGTGAGGCTGCTGAGGGTATTGATATGGAGCTGCCAACAGGAAATGTAAATCACGTTGACCTTCTATTTACAGTCACCCGTTATAAGAGACAAAGGTAATTAGGGTTGGAGTTTTCGAGTCGGGCCGACTTCGAGTCATTTTTCGCGCCTCATTTTTATCGGGCCAGCCCGATCGAGTCTCTTTCGGGACAAAATTCGATGCCCGACTCGATCTTTCGGACCGGACCCCAAACCCTAACGGTAATAGTTCGGCTTGTACATATGACTAAAGAGACAGAATCTGAATCTCCAAGGGTGTTCCACCACCAAATAAGAGGAAATTGTGGGAGAATTGAAAAAAGGTATCAAACAAGTATTAAAAAACCCCCAAGTTTTTTAATAAAATTATTTTAATAAAATTAAAAAAAATAAAAATTAAAAATAATTTGTGCGGAAATATTGACAAAAATATTTTTCGTCGTTCAGTCAATGACTGGGCAACGGGAAAAAAGTGTGGGTAAAAAGTCTATAAGAAAATACAAAATAAAAGAAAATAAATACTCTCTCCTAGGCCAGAACGCAAACAAAAAAAAATTTTTTACCGGCTGGGAGTGAATGAACAGCCCCACCAACCACTTATTCTTGTTGTTCAAGGGAATGAAAGCTAAACTTGAAGGACGACATTTGTGAACCGCGACATATGCGGAGTACCAGTAAGCTTTCAATCTAACTAGAGTTGAGGGGAATAATGTACAGTAGGACCTCGTTAAGATACCCTCTTGGTGTTGAAAAAATAGTCTCTTATAATGAGGTGTATCTTAAATGGAGGGTGTGGATTAGGCAACGCCCTCCACCCAGAGACCAACAAAATTTAAAAACTCTATCCCGAACTGAGTGGTATTTAGTATTGGGTGTATCTTATAATGATTGTCTCTTATAATGAGAGTATCTTAAATTGAGGATATCGCTTAAACAGCAACTCAAATCCAGTGGGCAACAAAATTCTAAAAAAGTGTCTTAAATAGGGGGTGTGTCTAATATTGGGGTATCTAAAAACGAGGGTGAATGTACCAACAAAATAATAATGGTGCTAGATCACGTTATAAGACCCAGTGGCTGTTTGTCCCAATTTCAATAGGTTTTAGTTTTGTGCGCAAATGTCGTGGTTCGCAACTGTCGCTGTCCACAAATGTCAGCAACCACACTTTTAGTTGAGTAACTAAATAAATAACTTGTTCACAAAAAAGAATCACTTTTCTGTGTGGGAAAAATATTTTTTTCTTAAAAAACTTTCTTCAATTTCAAAAGGAAATATAATTTCTTTGTTGAAGACAAAAAGCTTCTTATGCTTTTCTTAAATATTTAAAAAATTTTGGATCTTGTGGGAATATTTTAAAAATAATTTTAAAAATTTTGGGAAGTAAGGGTGTTGTCAATTGGAAGTAGGGTTCTCAAAATTCAAGAAGAATCGACGATTCTTCGGTTCCGTTGTTTGAAAAATCTTGCTGGATCAACAGCCCTAATAAAAGGGGTTTTAAACCAGGGCTGTGCGTTATGGCGTTTGGCGTTCATTCTTTGGCGTTTTGTTTTTGGCGTGATTTAAAAATTTGAAAAAATGCCAATAGTTTTTATTTATGTGCGCTAATGTCGCGGTTAGCTTATGTCGGCAAATATTAATAAAAACCCTCCTCCCTTATTTTTTGTAAAAAAGAAACATTCATTCTTTTTCATAATGTTTTTGAACCCTAAGGCAATAATTTAACGCATGAATCGGGGTGTATATTAAAAGGTGCATTAATTTTTGCATTAGAGAAAATTTGTGAACGAAAATATTTATGAAATGAAGAAAGCGAAACGAAATTTCGTTTTCGAAATTTAATAACGAAATTTCGTAAACTAAATTTTTGAGGGTTCGTGTCGGAGTTTTTGCCAAAAAATAGCAGGGTTTGGGGGGTCGTTGTTTTGCCCGCACGGGGTGGGCGTCGGGGATCGGGGTTTGTCGGGGTAGAGGTTTATCGAGGTGTTCGGGTCAGGGCTGATCGAAATAAAAATATTTTTTATTTCGAATCGAAACGAAATAAATAAATTCCTATTTCGTTTCGGAGCGAAACGAAACGAAATGGAAAAAAGGGCACGAAAGAGCGAAACGAAACGAAATTTCGATCAGCCCTGGTTCGGGTGGGGTTTTTGCCTAAAAATTCGTCGGGGTGGAGTGCTACCCAAGTTCAGACTACAGCTTTCTTTCCCAGAAACTAAAGGATTGTCTCTAGACGGAGAGAAAAAAACCTCTTTCGGGTGGGATTAGTTTTTTGGGGCAAAAACCCCTTACTTTTCCCTTCAAATTTTAAGGGGAAAGCAGAACAATCTAGTAAAAACACATATTGAATGGCCAAAACAAAAAAGCCGCGGGCAGTCTAAATGAAATTCCTTGCCCAGAAAAGAGAAAGGGGGAAAGAAAGAAAAAAATTATTTTGAAAGGAAAAGCCAAAGAATTCTGACAAATTTATTTGCTCCAAAGTAATAAATTTGTTTGGATAAAATATTAAAAATGAAAAGAATTTTTTTAAATTAATTTTTGTCTCAAAATTGGAAAGAAAAAAATTTATTTTGCAAAAGGGTGCTAAGACAGACAATAAGGCAATAAGACATTTGGCCAGAGCTATGACAGACAAAAGTGCGCTAAGACATTTGGAGAGAAGGGCAGTTGAACAGTGAATAGGGATCAGGGGTGGGCGCAAGAGGCAATCGCAAAAACGCAAAACGCAAGGCCAAAAATCAACGCAAAACGCAAAAACGCAATGCGCCCACCCCTAATGGGGATTAGCAAAATAGGAATCTCGATAATCTCCTAATAAATAATTGTTCAATGGTCTTCTGTCCAACTGTCGAGTTAAATAAAAAGGGAATCAACTATCCTGATTAATGTAACAAAAGCTGTAAATTATTTTTAGTCCATTTATAGAACAAGAATAAATAGCCTTGAAAAATAAAAAATGAAAGTACAAAAGTTTTGGGAAGCAGGAACAAATGAAGCATTTCAAAATTTTCATAAATTTTACCCCATTAGCAAATAAAGCCTTTATCCAAGGAAATCATGCATAAAAATTGTAAATACATCCTTGGGCTGAAAATGCATATCGGGATTAGGTGTACTTAAAAATGAGTACCCTTTATATTGGGGTATCTTATAAC